TGTGTGTGTGTGTGTGTGTGTGTGTGTGTGTGTGTGTGTGTGTGTGTGTGTGTGTTTATGTCTCTGGGTGTACCACACGTGTTTGTGTGTGTGTGTGTGTGTGTGTGTGTGTGTGTGTGTGTGTGTGTGTGTGTGTGTGTGTGTGTGTGTGTGTCTGAGCTTACACCTGTTTGTGCACGTGTGTAAAATTGTTTGGGTTAGTGTCGTCTTTCTTGAGAATTTCCTGCAGTACTATCTAAAGGGTCAGCGTGTCCTCTTTACCATACTGCGCGATCCCACACCACTGTAACGGGCATCTTAACAGCTTTAACATTTATTATTTCTCTTTCTCCTCGTATCTTATCAGAGACGATCTTTTTTTTAAATCGCTGGGCGTCAATCTCTCTGAAAATAGGCAGCTCCAAAATAAACTTTTGTTGTAGATTTTTTTTTCTCTAGAACTTCTTTTTTGTTATGTTAGTCCTTTTGGTTGTACGTTTATGTCACTTGAGCTCCTTTGTGCTATATGTCAACGTTGTTGGTTGTTGTTTTTTTCCTCTGAGATTTTTAAGCGTTCTTACGTATGTACAGGTGGTTTAGCAAGGGTGCACGAGATAATAATTATGGAGATACGGTCATGTAAGCAGGTATGTGTGTGTTTGTGTGTGTATGTGTGTGTGTGTGTGTGTGTGTGTGTGTGTGTGTGTGTGTGTGTGAAGGGGGCGGGGGGGGTACGTCTATATTTGCTTTTTAATGATTGAAAGGAAGCTTTCTGGCCCTGAGATTTGTGTGTTTAGCACCTAAATTACAATAAGATTGCTTGATCGTTTATCTTGTTTGGTCCCACCTTGTTTACGGCCACGAAAGACAAGAGTGGGTGGTTGGAGGGCGCCACTGGTAGGTCCTACTTCTTTATGTTCCTCCGTTGTTGTTTCTGTCTGTCTGTCTTACTTTTTTCTCAGCACTGAACCCCCACTAGTGTGTTCGCCTATGTGCTTTTTCTCGTTACTCGAACAAACAAACGAAAGACCGTGGTTAAAAAATGTAGTTTTTAAAATGACAATTAAGTGGTGGGTCGGGAACCCATTCATGTTAGTCTCTTTCCTCTGTGTTTTGTACTAAACAGGTTCTCCAGAATCCATTACTATACGTGGGTGGTTGGAGGGCGCCACTGCTAGGTCCTACTTCTTTACTTTCCCTCTTTTGTTTCTGGCTGTCTGTCTTACCCTTTTCCAGCACTAAATGATCATTATCATGTCGATGTGGGTGGTTGGCGGGTGCTCTGGTGTGGTTTGCTTCTTCTTTCATATCAAACATCTATCGTCTTTATCTCCCCTCGTTCTTTTTTGTGTTTGTTATTCTCTTGAACACCTCTAATCTTCGGCACTTATATGACCTTATTGTGTTGCAAGTGCCGTAAAACACTTATTAAAACAAATATCATCTCGATGTGCTTTTCTTTACTCTAACAAACGAACCATTACTATACATCTCTCAATTTGGTGAGTATCTGAATCAAAACATTCAACTTATACCTAAGCAATATACATGGCCCCTCTTTCTGATATGGGCCAGCGCGTTGTGCCGAGAGTGATATTGAATTTTGTTTTAAATTATCCTAATACTACCGTTTTAACGAAACAAAACAGTTTCCCTCAGCTTAGAGCTCTATAATGTGTTCTTTCAGCGGCGTTGGCTATTCAGTTTGCCGCACAGATCATGCTAGTGTGCTTTTCCCAAAGTAGATTGATGAGTGCTTGGGGGCAATTTCCTGGATTCGCACGAGAAGCCATTTTCGTAGAGGTTTTTCTTGCTTGCGACCTGAGTTATGGTACACTCTGTAAAGTCGGTTGGAGGTCGTTAAATCTAGTTTTCTATAACAGCTGAAAGCGTTTACTTCCACTTCTTGACCCTTGACATGCATCAGATTAAACTCATGATCCTATATCCAACACAAAGTGAGCTTTGTGGGTAGTTGGCGGGTGCTCTGGTGTGGTTGCTCCTTCTTGCCTATCAAACGTCTATCGTCCTTATCTCTCCTCCTTCTTTTTTATGTTTGTTACTCTCTTATAAAACACCTCTAATCTCCGGCACTTATAGGACCTTACTGTGATTCAAGTGCCGTAAAACTCTTACTAAAACTTAAAAAAGGGGCTTCTCAGCTTGCTCGTAGATTTATATTTTCTCAACTGCCTGCGATAGCAATGACGTATTACCACATTGTGTAGATTGTTATTGGTTTCTGTGTGCACCTATGACAAAAGGTAGCCCTTGAAGGCATTGAAGGTAACTGGGGGGTCTCAACGAACTGAGAGAAAAAGAATGTTATCTTTTGTTAAGACAAAGTTTGTTCAACAGTTCTGTATTGAACAGAAGAATACAAGCTGTTCAAGTATGCCTTTCATGAAGGAGAAAGAAAATTATGTGGAGATTGTAGGGAAGCAAAATCGGTGATATTATATCTCTGTGGGTGGTGATATTTGTTACGATAGCAAACGATTTTGTTGAATTTTAAATCGCCTTGTACCCAATTACATCCCAACTAAAGTATGCTCTTAACTTCAGTTGCTTTTTTTTCTCGCTGCGAGCCCTTTTCCTCTACTATGTGTTCCCCCTCTCCATGATTTGAACGTTTTCTCAATTTTCCGACATCATTGTCGTCTTCTTGGTGTCGCAATTATCGTGGTAGTGGCTGATATTGTCTTCTTTTTATTCTTTTTCCACTTCCTCCTCCTCCTCATCTTCCTTCTCCTCCCTCATGACCACCGAAGACTTTTTTGGGGATGTTTATATGGCTCGTTCTGAGAAAGCTCAGCCTGCGGTGCGGTTCTCTTTACTCACTGAGAGCAGACTTGCGATATTTGCAATGGTTGTTCACACAGATGACTTCCTTCAATCAGCAAAGTGGCTTATTCACATCGATTTGTCTACTTTCATGTTTACACCGGCTAAAAATTACTGGTGTTATGGTGAAGCGGTCAATCTTTGATCTGTCTGTCTGCCTCTCTGTCTCTCTGTCTGTCTGTTTATCTCTCTGTCTGTCTGTCTGTTTTTGTGTGCGGTCATGTGTGTGTGTGTTTGTGGGAGGGGCTAAATTCGAGTATTCGTTTATTTATGACTGGAATGTTACTGCTGAAAATTAAAACATGTCCTGACTTTTAAAAAGATATTATAATATTATATATATATATATATATATATATATATATATATATATATATATATATATATATATACCATCTTGCATAAATAATTGTTGTTGGGTTTTTTTCTTTTCTGTCATTTCCAGACACCATCCATTGGGCAGGATATCATGAAACGTTTGACGTAGCCTGAACGACAGACACCCGGAATATTCGCACCTACACCCCACAACCCACCAGCTTCGACCCACGCCTATCAACACCTCCCTACCCCTTACCCCAGACCCTCACCAACAGCGTATTCTTGTGCCATACTGAGAGCTCGCAGAAACTGCTGCCATTATCTTCCTAGACCCTCGTTTGAGGTCAACGTCACAGGAACCCGGTCAGTGACGTCATCATGAGTGCCCCGGTGTCAGATCGGGACAGGATGGACCCAGGGATGCCGGTCAAGGACCACGGCTCCTTCGCTTCCTTTCACGTGCCCAGCCAGGCAGACATTCAGGGTGAGCGAGTTTTTTCTTTTGTTTTTTTTTCCTTCTCTGTTTACCTCTCCCTGCTTCTTTGTTTATCCTCCTTTCTGTTTGTGAGTCTACCTGGGTTTTTTTCTTTTCTGTCTGTCTGTCTGTCTGTCTGTCTGTCTGTCTGTCTGTCTGTCTGTCTGTCTGTCTGTCTGTCTGTCTGTCTGTCTGTCTTTCTCTCTCTCCCTTTCTCTCTCTCTCTCTCTCTCTCTCTCTCTCTCTCTCTCTCTCTCTCTCTCTCTCTCTCTCTCTTTCTTCTGTATGTGTCTCTGTCTGTCTGTAGGTCTGTCTGTCCGTCTGTCTGTCTCTCTCTGTACTTGTACGTCTGTCTGTCTTTACGGACTTGTTGAGGACTCGTTCGGTATCATTTAAATGTCTGGGGGTCACTCCTCGTAGGATATTTCAACGGGGCTATCCCGAAAAATGCTGTTTTGAGAAAATCAAAGTTAAAAGTTTCTGGACCCTTGTTCAGTTTTTTTTTAACGGAGAGAAGAGTTTTCTCTTTATTAAAACAAATATACACACCATGACCGATGACATCAAACTTCTCCTATAGGTGGGGTAATGCCCGCTTTTGCTGTAGGTCAAGATTTCTGGAAAGCCCCGAAATCCGGGTTAGCCCGTCTGTCCCTAGAAGCGACCATTTTAGTAATCAGCGTGGTTACAAAGCGAAAATGTTGTGACCAGAGGAAAACTATATCGAGAGCGACATTATAAAAAGGTCATACCCGGAGTATTTGCAGAGACAACACGTGTCTTTGAAGAAGCGTTTGCTAAACCAATACTGCAAGGGGTAATCAGAGACGACGACGATTTTCCACCCCCTCCCCGGAACTTTTTCCTGTTCCAAATTGTCCGCCTAGTTCTACCTATGAATGAATGGTCCTGCAAAATTGTCCTTGAAAAGGCGGGAAGGAAGTACCTGGCATAAGTCATCGTTAACGTTGGGGTTTAAATTAGCACTTTTGACTTTTTTTCTCATGTACTTTCTATATTTTTCTTTTGGCAAGGTAGTCACACTTTAAATGTGGGTGGTTGGCGAGTGCTCAAGTGTGGTTTTCTCCTTCTTCCTATCAAACAACTATCCGCTTTGTCTCTCCTCTTTCTTTTTTATGTTTGTTACTCTCTTGTAACACATCTAATCTTCGGCACTTATATGACCATATTGTGTTGCAAGTGCCCTAAAACTCTTACTAAAACAAACACACACCCAGAATGGTGGTGGGATGTCCAGTAATTTAGCCCCAAAGTGACGCAGCAGGTACGCTAGCAACACGCAGTTGGAAACGTGATTTGACACAAATATCTTACGTTCAGATGACTGCGCCATTACGGTGTTTGCGTTTAACAAATTACACAAGACTGGTTAGCTTTTTGATTTCCATTTCAAGCATTCTTTGAGATTAAAGCGAAGCTGAGCAGGTAGACTCGGCAGGGAATGAGTTGACTTTTATAGACTGAGAGTCGGGTACAGGAGAGGAAGAAATGGAGTCGAAGTATACTGGGGATTCTAGTATTCAAGGTAGGTTATTGTCTCGCAGTTACTAGTCATTGCCGTATATATGATCCGATACCGTGTTCATAATCCTTTTATTTTGCTCCGTTGGTCATACAGTTTGCTGTAATTTCTTTCTTTCTTTCTCTCTTTCTTTCTCTCTTTCTTTTTGTCGGTCTGTCTGTCTGTCTTTTTTTCCTAATTTATGTTTAGCAATTTTGTGTCGTTTATATGAAATGCATTGTGTACTTTAAGAGATAACAGTTGGTTGAATTGAGTTCAGTATCCTAATTGACACGCATAATATGTCCTTTCGCAAGAAAACACCTTAAGTATATTATGGGATTTTAGGGGCCTGGTTTTGGTGTAGCGTCTTATGACTGGCTCCCCACGTACAGGAGAGAATCATTACCTGCTGTCTGAACAACAAGACTATTTACGTCATTCAGATCGCCCGAGATAAAAGATGAAGTGTTTTTAAATAACTTTGGTACTTATGAGTAATGTTTAAAGGCGATGATTTAGACTGTATTGGTTTACGAATGTGTCTGCGTCTTGACGGTTTATGGGTTATGAACTCTACCCTACTCTGAGACATATAAGCATTTAAAGGAACAATTTTGTTTTGAATGTGACACCCCCCCCCCCCCCCCCCCCCCGCCTCTGTGGGACTTTCGACTCAGCGGAAATCCTGCTAAGAAGAAGAGATAACTTGTTCCCCCGGCAGACATCTTTCTCCTCTGATCCTTAGCCAAGATTCGTTGATCGGCACCAGCTGGGGGATCGCCTTTAAGCTAAGAATAGAACAACCGATTGGCGAGTGCACTGACCAGAAGGACGATCATTGATCAAAACGTGAAAGTTAAAATAGTCGCTTTTAAGGACAAGCGAGCTAGCCCAGATTTCGAGGGTTTCCAGAAATCTTGACTTATAGCCTATCAATAGTGGGCTTTGGCCTACCTAGAGGGGAAGTTTGGTTTCAGTGGTGTGTATATTTGTTTGGTTGTAGATAAAACACTCCTTGTCTTTTAAAGAAACTGAACAAGGGTCCAAAAACTTTACCTTCGATTTTCTCAAAACAGCATTTTTCGGGATAGCCCCCTTGGCCTTTGTGCTTAAAAGCGACCAAATGTACTTAATGACGGACTTATTTATCTTCCGGTGGAAGCTTTGCACACCGGAAGCTGTTACTGGCGTTGCCGGACAATTGATCATCTCTGTTTTTCTGGGGAGTTACAGCGTTGGAGCCTGTTGCATGCGTATCGCTGCCACTCTCATATTATTTCAGTGTAAGGGGATTGTCAAGAACCGTTTTGTAGCGTTTTCAACGAGGCGTTCAAGTACCCTTCGTGATGATAACAATGTTCTCAAGATGGATTTATTTGGGCGCCATTGAACGGGAATTGTACCCATTTTACATAACAGTGTTATCTTTCTGAAGACCAGGGCGCGTAGTTTTTCATCAGTTATCCAAAAGCGTTTGAATCAACTCTGTTAAGCCCCTCCCTATGAATTATAAAACCAATCAAGTCTTCTCTTCATTTTCTTAAAACATAACACCGCCTCCCATTGATTGTACCTTTCCTATGGGCTCTTTAGAACGATTACAGAGCCCATCTGACTTCAAGATTGGAATGTGTCTGAATGGAACTCGAGCGAAGAAGAAGAACAACAACAACAGCAACAAAAAGAAGAAGAAGAAGAAGAAGAAAAAGAAGAAGAAGAAGAAGAAGAAGAAGAAGAAGAAGAAGAAGAAGAAGAAGAAACTTCAGTAAAGCCCCAGAAGCTGGTCTGGACTCTCCAACTCATCTTTTCATGCCTCCCAGACGACCAAACAAAACATTTCTCCATCCAGGCTTTGCGCACTCGGCAAAGAACAGAGGCGTGCCTCGTGTGGCCAGCATCAAGTCAGCTTAACACGAGGCTCTGGGATTGCTGGTGGGATCTGCGAGGAACTACAATTTCCGTCCTGTGTACTTTTCTGGTGTAAAGAGTGGCGGAACCAGACAAATAACAGTTTTAAAAGAAAAGGATATCACGGGAAAAGAATGTGGGAAAAAGTGGGGTTGGGAGTGGGCAGAGGAGTCACAATGGGGTCATTCAACTTTCATGTTTCTTGTATCAACCACAACAACAACAACAACAACAGCAACAACAATTACTACAATAGCAACAACAGGAATAACATTATAAACAACAACAACGACAACAACAATAACAACAACAACTATACTTCTAGAACTACAACAACGACAAGAGAAGAAGGAAAGAAAGAGATGAAAAGAAGAGGACATGGAAGAAAAGGAAGGAAAGATAAAAGTAAAATAATAGGATGAGATCAAAAGGAAGAGGAAGGGAAATTACCGGAAACAGAAAGGGAAAAAAATCTAACAGTGTATGTCGGCTATTGTGATCTGACTTGAAGGCATTTCGTTATATCGTCGTATTCACACATCCCTGTCCACGAAGCCTGAACCAAATCCATTGTCTGGTCTGGCCTCGGGGCACTGGTCTCCTGTAGACAATCTATTCATAAAAGGCTCCCTTAGCACCGTGTCTGGGCAGGCATGCACGAGAAGAGAAAGCCGGAAATTGAATTAAGCAAAGCTCTTCTCACGCTCATCTCGTCGTGACTGACAGGGAAAGTGCGGCATGTTGGGCAAGACACGTCCCGCTGTAGACATGTGCACACAGACTTTTTTTCCAACTGCTTCAGAATTTGAAAAAATAATCGTTCAAACTATTTTTCCCTGTTTTGCTTGCAGAAATATGCCCACATACGTTTTTAACTGCTTCAGAATTTTTAAAAACAAACAAACCTTCAAAGTAATGGTTTTTCCCTGTGTGGTGTCCTATTCGAAAGTTAAAGTGTTCGACTTGCAATAATATAATAAAACGATTTTTAGCTCTGCTCACAGCTCCATGTGATAAGACAGTGTGCTCTCGAGAAAAACATCACTTTATACCCTAGTTTCCTCAGTTTTCTAAACAAAACATCGCCTTCCGTCCACTTTTACCATTCCTTTGGGCTCTTTAGAACGATTACGGAGCCCATTTGACTTCATCAATATTTGAACGTATCTGAATGGAAATCGAGCGAAGAAGAAGAAGATGAATCTGGTTTGGACTCCTTCTCATCGTTTCATGCCACCCAAACGACCAAGTAAATTAAAAAGTAAAGCTTAAATACGTCAAAAATGGTTGTATGACTAAAAGACTGAAACGCTGTACCTTGTGGGGGAGGGGGGGGGGATGAAATAGAAACATAAACATTGGAATGAACAGCCTAGCCGAGGTGTTTGTTATCATTAATCAACTCGAGCCTGCCAGGGGAGGGCGGAGGAGAGGGGTTCATCATCCTCCAGTGCCAATCTGCGACAGACATCGGCGATCATGGTTCTCCATTCATTCCTTTGCTCGGATGCTCTTAAAAAAGCTACGTTTCCCTTTTCTTTCCCCGTTACCCATTTGTTTAGGTTCCTTAAGTAGGTTGCTCTAGACCTACCCCTTCCTCGTTTGCTTTCAATTTTGCCAGTGAGAGCTAGATGTTCAAGACCTTTATGTCTATTCAAGTGTCACAAAAACTGCTTGTCGCTTCCTGATTGTTTTGACAGTGAGCGCCCTCGTGGGCCTAATCAAGCTGAACTACCTCATTTGATTTCTTTTCCTTCCACCCTCGGTAGAGACGGGGGTTACTTGACTGTAAGTAAGTACTCAAGCTTTTATTGTGTGGGTTGCATCGGCTGCTTACTGATATAGTTGACCTATGGCGTTCTGTGCTGGCATGGATATATATTTCGTCTAGCACACAATTTTAATTCCTTACCAGGGAAGATATTAAGAGTAAAACTACATAATTGGGCCTCGTATGCACGTATGTACATATTGTGCAAGGATGCTTCAATACTCTGCTGTTTTTATTTTTTTCCTACTTTTTTTTCTCCTTTTTTTCTCTTTTTTTTAATTTGTTTTTTTAGCTCGCTTCCTCTCGAAATGTTCTGGTAGGGTGTTAAAACCACATCACGTTATAATATAATATATAATAAATTATTCCCCCCCCCCCTCTGTTATACAGATCATCGAAGTGCTGACACGGTATACATCGGCCTGCACGTGCCTCGGAATGAGCGACGTCACCGTCACGGCGGACGTCACCGACACCGACATAGGCGGGATGAGTCCAAGACTGCTCCACAGTCCATTCCCTCCGAAGGTAATTGGATGAGACAAAACGTGGGTTTGTCGGGTTTCGTTACAAGTGCCACTCTTCCATGAGTGATTGTTGCACAATATATCTCTATTTTTTTTCTTGCCTTTTTTCTCTACTTAGTATTATAGTTTCTATATCACCGTTTGCCTCCCTTTAATTATATAAATGTGTCTGTCTATATATGAATGTCTATTTCTTCCTGTCAGTCTCTCTGGAACCCCCCACCCCCACGCCCCTCTCCATTTTCGTCTTGCTCTTTCTTTCTTTCTTTCTCTTGCTCTCTCTGTCTTTGTCTATTCATCTGTCTACATATATATCTCTCTCATGTGTGTGTGTTTGTGTGTTCGTGTTGTGTGTTTGTGTTGTGTGTTCGTGTGTGTGTTCATGTGTCTGTGTGTGTGTGTGCGCGCTGTGTGTATGTAGTTTGATTTCTCTTGCTCTGCAGTATCATATAATGGATTTTTAACTTGTACAAGTGTGTGCAAGTACCTATTGTCAGTAGCAGAACCCGTTCCATGGAATTACGTCTATAATGACCTGTCTCTGTGGTGTAATGCTTTTATGCAACAACAAAAAACAATAATAATAAAAACAAATAATAAATATTTTTTAATGCGAGTTCGATTCAAGCATTCTCTTTTTGTTGAAGTGCATTCAACACAAGTTGCGTTGGCCCCGACATGTAGAGGTCGAAGCATTCTGTCCCCTACACGATCGAACTAATTTTGATTGTGACGTAGAACTGTGAAGAACTTTAACCAGAAAATCCCTGGAATTCACTGCTGTACCTGTGTTATTTGTTCGTAGTAGTGTCAAAATTGTTCCGAATGCGTAGAGCACCTGTTGATATGCAAGATGAATGCTTTGTTTCTGTTTAGGTTGTCTCACAAGTGTCTATATTATGTATCCTTCTTTTCTGTGATCTGCACCAATTTGATTCCTCCGAACCCATGTACACCACACCACCCACATTGTCGTTGGTCATCATCAAACTGTTCCATTAATCTCAATTCATTGACTTTCATATTGGATATTCACCAATCCACATGTTATCGTAGTTTTCATTACATTATTGCATTAAATCGTAAATGACGTACTAGATCGTCTAAATTCATTTCAACTAACCTTTTTATCACCCAGCCGGTATTTTTTTTTTCAAATCACAAGAGATATGGGACTCGACAGTCCTTTAAATTGCGGAGTTTCCAACCGTTTGACATCGTTATTTTAGTGGAATATTCTCGGAAACTTTAACCGTTTTAAAAAAAAAAAAACTGCACGGCTTCCATTGTCATAGAACTGGTCCTAGTTTGTTGTTCTCATTATTTTGTGTCCAGTAGGTATTAGTCGTCGGCAACCAACCTAATCTCAGTAATTAGTGTGAGTGTTTTGTCTAAGTTCAGTGTAAGTAAATGCTTGTTTGACCGCAGGGAGTTTGATTTGAGCCAATTTTGTCGTTAAAGTGTTACGTCTACTATTTGGTATTGGACGACGGTCAGGCAAAGAATAGTTGGTGTTAAGGGACTCGTCGCTGTATGTAAAAATAGTACAACTGTCTTTTATCGTTCTGAACTTGATGGCGTGATTGTGAGGCTATAATATACTAGCTGGGCCCCTTTTGATGAAAGAAATGATCTGTGCATTAACATTAACTGAAAGTCATTGGCCAACTATATTAAATACTCTACTGGAATGGAGCAATAAATCTTGAGAGATGCAAAACATTAGAATGTCTAGATCTATACCCTCAAAACAAAATGCGCCTAGCGAATTATCACGTCCGGCACTTCCGTTGTGAAGGCCAGCTACACAGACTTGTTTCGTTTCTCAGTGGAATAATCACGAAGGCCATAGAAGGGCGGGAACTTTTTGTCAATTTTTTCTAAATTCAGGAAATGAAAAAATACAAAAATCAAGCTCCGTCATGGGGACCTATCTATCTTTTTGCGGGTACTTGCCAACTTTCAACTCCGTAGCTGTCGTAGTTTAATAGGAAAAGTGACACATGTGTTTCCAAGTTGCCAAATATTTAATAGATTGTTGGGATGTAAAAGAGCGATAGCCGGGAACTCAAAGCTCATGCTTTCGCTGTTTTGAGCTGTACTGTGAAAAGGTGTGTTGGTACTTCCGTATTTTACACACCACGCGGCGCTTTTCGTGCATGGTATCCCATTTTCACCCCCCTGCCTTCACGTTTGATCATCAAGCCATCCCTTCCCCCGCCCTCTCTTATAAATTTTCTCTTCTCTCCCTCCCACTGCCTCCCCCCTCCCCCCACACGTAAACGCCACCTGTTTACCAAGGGGCCTCTTCTTCGAAAGGAGACGGCGAAGGTAATTAGTCAGTCAGTAGTAACCAGTCAGTGTGATTGGAAGTCAAGACCGATTCAAAAATGAAATAACACGAGCATTTTCGTGCACCGTGGTGCTGTTAGTACGCTCTTAATCGACTCAAGTATCTCTTTCATATTGAAATTGGCATTTAGAATTTTGTAGTGACTCACATGATAAGACATCGGACTCATGCTTCTCTCATTAGTATTGTTTATCCGGTCTTCATTCAGAATTTATATTAACTTCTTTGTGCAAATAACTTTGCAACTGATGAAAGGAATGACATTGAAAATTAAGATGAACGTTTGGGGGTGGGGGTAGGGGGCAACAAATAAACGAAAAAGTGAATATTTTGTAAACTTGGATGACAGAACCAAACTCGTGTTGTACACACCGTAACACATAGCAATGTTTCAAGAAATTCCTAGTGAGAATTTCTCAAATGAATCGCGTAGAATTATTCCTACATGTTGTATCGTGCTCTCACGTCAAACTCACTTTGTAATCAAATTACCTACCCACAAATGTACACACCTAAGCATAAGATCACTACACGACTGACAATAGCAGCAACAACAAGCAATAAAGTACCGCGTTGCCGTGAAGATTTTTAATATTCGACTTCTGGGGATTGTCAATTCTGGTCAGATTGCTGTAAATCTTGCTTGGGGTCGGGTCATTTCCTTAGAAGGTATTGTTGATGTTCTCTTACGCGAGAGATATCTACATTTTTTGTGTGATTTCACGTGGTTTAATGCGGTTAGTTTTGTGCCAACAGGTACACCAAATTTACACTTGTTTGTTTTTTACCCCCGTCCCTTCCTCTTCCTTCACTCCTTTTTAAAAAAATCTCCTTTTGGTTATCCAGACTCCTTATATTGTTAGAGGCAGAAGGCCTACTCTCTTTTTTTTTCAAATAGCGTCAATGTCTGAGGTAAAAGCTGACCCTTCCAACACGTAGTGGGTCAGAATTCAGAACATAATATCTAGTGCGCTATGAGCCAACATGTTGGAACGAGGCTGTCCTCAAAATCATAATGCAATGTACGTATTAGTTGGTTGCAACCTACATACATGGAAAGCTCCGCCCCACACACAGTTCAGTTAAATGATACTTGCGCACATACCCACACTAAATGCTCGAACACGTGCCCGGGCGCGCGTGCACACACTCACACAATACACACACACACACACACACACACACACACACACACACACACACACACACACACACTCACACACTCACACACTCACACACACACACACGTAAGGCATGTACACACTTAAGTGTCCTATTTTGCCAGTCAGGGAGCATGCAGTAGTGGGCAGTGAGTGCTTGCAACCTGATTGCTCGGCGTAGTTCAGACTTCTTGCACTCCTAATCTTGGCGCTGCATGGGTTTGACCAGTCTTGACGTGTCGTTACTGAAGGCTCTGTCTTTACCTTCCTGTTTTTGTCATCTATTCTCCTTTGATGTTACTGATATCTCATTTTCCTCCAATACGTGTTCTTGAAGAGCACAAGTTATACATATTATGGTATTTATATTACATGTATTTTTCTGTCAGAAAAAAGTGTCCTTTAAATTTAAGGCTCCAATTCAATTATAATATCTGTATTTTTTTCTTTCATTGACTTCAGATATGATTTATAAAACATGTTTATGCACCAAACGTTATTTGGATTCTGTTCATATGTCTAATAATTGATCCCACAGCCCCTCCTAAAGGCAAAAATGCAGGTGTATACACGTTTTCGTCGTGTTCAGTGTTTGTCATGGCCGTTTCTATGTTAGCGTTACAGTGGACTTTGCTTAACTTGATGCCAGAGGCTTACAGAAAAAGGAACACCAAGGACTGAACTGCCAAAAATTAATATTAATAATAATAACAGATAGCATTTGTATAGCGCAAATCCCTGCTCAAAAGCAAGGTCTATGCGCTTCACAATCTTAACGGGTTTCTTTCGTCTTTCTTATTTGTTTGGTGGTTGGGGAAAAAATGCATCATTATTTTCGAACTGCCTTTTTATTAAAGTTCATTCCGAGCAGAGTCTACTGTGGTTACACCCCGTGTCCCATGAGCCACGAGTTTATTTTTTTACCTCATCAGCAGAGTTGTGTAATTTGTTTTTCCTGTTCCTCCATGCCAATATTCTCGTTCATGTACAAATATTGAGTTTCTTTTTTTCCATCCTGCCACGTTGTCATTCAGTTAGATACCTTATTTTCCCATTAAGTTTGTCACTGCAGTTATTTCTTGTAGTATTAGGGCATTGCTATGCGTCTTTTCTTGGGGGGGGGGGGGCGAAAGAGGAAGCAAAATTAGTTTTTGAAAGTTCCTCTGGAATCGTTGTGAATTTCTCTGAGAATGTCCTTTAATAAGACAAGAGTGAGATCAGAGTCTCATGTGGTTCCAATCTCAGTTGTGGTCCTTTTTAGAGTGAGATACGTTTCTTTTGGTAGCTCCACGTGTTTCAGTTATGCCATTTTTCAGTCTGCATTTTCTCCCCAATCGTTTTCGTGGCGCATTTTAAACTTTCAGTTGGAAAGAGAATCTGATTTAGTCGATATGTCCATCCGATCCACATGCTTGTCATTTCCACATTTTATGTTCATCTGTCGCAATGTGTTGACGCATGACCATTCCCTATCATCTCGAACGCTCTGTATTGAGGGACGTTTTGGGAAAGTTTTTGTTTTTTGTGTAACAGCGAATGTCACAAGTAGCTAGAACTCGCTTTTTTCACTTAACCGGAGGCTGTTCCTCTGCATCTGTCATCTTCATCATCGTCTCCTTCGTCGCCATGATCATCACACACGCACACGCGCGCACACACACACACACACACACACACACACACACACACACACACACACACACACACACACACACACACACACACACACACACACAACCACCACCACCACCACCACCACCACCACCAAATTCACCACCGCCATTAGTTACCGTATCCTTTTCACTTACGCATTAATTAACTGCAGGTGTTGTTTTCAATCTGCATGAAGGGTAGACGATTGTTTTGACCAAATCGTAGCGTGTAGACGTTTTGAACTTGAGGTTGACGCCGTTAGAACTTTCGTTTGTTGAGTTCTTGTTCTGCTGGATGCTATCGTAGGACCATTAATTTGTCTCTCCACTTAACAGTTAGTTCATTTTCTGATTCGTCATTGTACTCACTACTTCTCTGTGAACCCCCTGCTTTACACGTATTCTGTTCAGATTACGTCAGTGCCTGGGTTGCCTGAACTGCAGTGTCGCTGTTTGTTCATGGGTTATTGCCGCTTGCAGATTTGCCAGTTTTATTTGTAAATGACTGTATTTATTTACCATTGTTGGCGAATAGACTTTCCCCCTGAAATTTCCCTTTTTACCAGTATGAAACAGCAACTTCCTTTAACGGCTAATATTTACCGCCAGGCGATGATATGTCAAGTATAGCGTATAGGAGGTGTCAGCAACACATGTTTTTTGCTGTTTAATTGTAAAGTACACATGTTTCCTCATACAAAGACTGGAAAATGCTCCATATTCTACATGAACCTTACTCACTACCCGTTTTTCTTTGTGCTTGAGAGCACACCATCCCCTCATTTGGACGACTTTGAAGTGTCAAGACAGTTAACTGCTTATTTTCTCAGAAGGAGTTTGTTAATAGAATAGATGTTCAATTGCAAAATGAGAGTCTGTAGCTGACTACTTGCTTCTTACTTCTTGAGCAGTACTCGCATGAAATAAGTTTGAAAGAAGCTGTAAATTACATAACAGTATTAAACTGTATATAACTGTTAGCTGACATTTTTTTCAGAGCCTTTTTTTTTTTCGAAATCCTGTGTTCTTCCAAATCATGTTAAAAAATTTAGGAGCAATGGATCTCTATAAATTTTATAAATATTGAATGTTGTCTAGTTAAGATATGGTTCTTCAAATGTGTCTAGATGGAGATTGTTATAAGACGTTAAGAAGAAAAGAATGGAAAGCTAGTCGAGATCAGCTCCAGATGGTATGCTGTATGGTATGAATGCTTTCGAAAATGAGAATGTTTGGGAATGTTGAAGGTGTCTGTTTAATAATAAATTGTAAAGTGGAGCAGTGCCTTCTACCAAGAAGTATGACATGCGCTCTATATAAATGCAGTCTACAATTAAATATGTCCTGTGTTTGCCTGTCTTTGGTAATGATTTGTAATTTCACATATATATTTTGGCTTCTGCAGTTACAGAAGTATAGCCTCCCTGGCTAGCAAAATAAACAGTCCATTTTGATCTAAAATAAATTCCCTTCAGGCTCAGGTGTCATGCCCATAAACGCCCTAGGATTTTTTTAAAGTAGAGGGCCACTGTCTTGGAGGAAAGTATTAGATATGATGGGGGTATGAACGTGTTGCTTGTTGAATGCCCGAGAAAATGCCTGGGCAAACTGCACACTCTTGAGAAAGTGCAAGTGCTGTGACCTGATCTGTGAGGACTTGTTGTATAAAAGAAAGTTACCCTAGAGGATGGTGATTGTGGGTTTTCAGAAATAGATGTGACATTGACATGTGAGCAGTAAAGAACAAGGATTGTAATAAATATTTACCCTCATAATGTCTGTGTATTATTTTTTGTATTATATTTAGTAGGAAGATTGAACTTTTGCTGGTTTTATTTTGTGTAGTTACTTTTTTTTGCCACATTCCTCCCTCTTCTGTCTGATTGTTATTGCACGGAAGAACTTTTCTGTCCTTTCTTTCCCTTTTTATCCTTGGTGCTAGTTTTAAGCTTCATGTTTACCTAATTTCAACTATTTTTGGAAATATACTTTGTGGTGTAAAGAGAATTGATAGGGCAAACATTTTCCTTTTGCTTCTGTCAGAAGTCCCGTCACATGATATGCTAATGCGTTTCCTGCTGTGTTTCAGTCCCACCCTCTCAGCGTGTGCAGTTCCTGCTCGGGGAGGAGGAAGATGAGGAGCATCGCGCTCACGACATCTTCTGTCAGATGGCAGAACTCTTCCCTGCTGGAGATGAGAAAGAGTGGAAGGAGACTGCCAGGTCTGTATCATGTAGCGGTGTTGAGCAGTTCGTTACAAATACAAGTCTGCAATCTGAATGGGATTTTACAAATTTCTTGGCAGTGCTTTTATGAGCTCTGGGCTGTCTCACAGCTTGGATGTCTTTCACTCAGCCTTACTCTTTTTTTATTCCATAGACGGTCTTTGTTATTTTTGATGATGATGTTGTTGCTGTTACCATTCATTCCTCTGTTTGGATTCTCTGAAAAAGAACCCTCTCTGTGTCACAACGTGGTGGATCAGGCTTTTGTCAATTTTTGGGCATGTGGAGTTATTGGTTTCATCTAAAAGCTTATTCATTTGCCTTGTTTTCATTGAAAAAAAAACAACCTTTCTATCTTGAATTGATGTCGAGATATGTGCAATTGAAGGAAGAGGAGTCGCCTGGTTTCAGTGATAAAAATAACGAGAAAATGGCCCCCAAATCTAGGTAATTTCAATAGCTTGTGAATCTCTCAAAACTGAAGAATTACATATTGATTGTGTGCGTTTGATCAACGTTTCTCAGTCAAATTCACCTGTAAATGTGTTTAGGTATGGACACATAAGTGTAGAGCCAAAAAACAAAAGTTTGATAAAAGTTGGCATACTGGCGTGAAAGTGCCTAGCTGTTTCTTCAATTTTTATTATTTTGACGAGCGCCTGATTTCACCATGATGCCTCGCATATTATCTTGGTCTTTTCTTGTTTTCTCTCTTTTTTATAGTTGCTTTAATTTTTTACTGAATGCTGGAAACGTATATTATTATAGGGTTTTTTTCACCTCGATTATAGCTCTTGAGTACTTTCTTTTTCACTCTGTCAGTTATGTGTCTGAAGGAAGTCCCCCTCGTTGAATTGCTTTATTTCCTCCTGTTTCCAGATGGATCAAGTTTGAGGAGGATGTCGAGGAAGGAGGCGAGCGCTGGTCCAAGCCTCACGTGGCCACTCTGTCGCTGCACTCACTGTTTGAGCTCCGCTGCCTACTCATGCAGGGCACCATCATGCTGGAAACGGTCGCCAACAGCATAGAGCAGATTGCAGGTGAGAGAACAGATTTAAGATCAGATAAGATATGTCTTTATTGTATCTTATTTCCTCATGTTGTTTAGTGTATGTGAAAGTCATAGAGCAGATGGCAGGTGAGTGACCAGTTTTAAGATGAGATAAGATATGTCTTTATTGTATCTTATTTCCTCATGTTGTTTAGTGTATGCGACAGTGGTAGAGCAGATACCCCCACCCCCAGGGCAGTGCTACTGGTTGAAGTGTCTTTAGGCCTTTCCCAAAGGGGGGATATTAACATGTTCTTAGTAGAATTGTATATGGGCTGATTTATCAACATCTTGCTCCTGTGCCGGAACAACATAGGGGGAACTGCTGCTTTTTCTTTCCTCATCCTTACTATCGCCAATTTTCATCTACTTAATACTTCTTTTTTATGTTTGTCGCTCTCTTGTGAACTGCTATTACCGGGGTGCCTTGATAGTCGAAGCAGACTTTGTGCTGTTGAGGCTAGAAAGTTGAGTAGAATAAGCCTGATTCCCCATTTGGACTACTCTGTTTGATATCCACCCCATGGCGCTCATATAACCTAATGCAGTTGCAAGCGCCGTAAAACCTTACTAAAACTAAATAGAGCAGATAGTGGATGAGAGACCAGTTTTCTTCCTGTTTTTTAGTGTATCCGATAGTCATAGAACTGAATGTGGGTTAGATATCTTGTTTTGTAACAACCATAGTGCAGATTACAAAGGAGTTGATAGATTTGCTTTCAGTGTTTTGTCCATACAAGTTTTGTTACCGTACATTTTCTTGCTTTTTCATGTACAACTGTTAGAAAAATTTCCTATAAATGATGAAAATACAATAATATTGTATCTTTTTCATTTTCTTTGGGGGGGTTTTTCTCACCAGATGTTGTGTATCACAAGCTATACTTATGCTTTTTAAAAATTGAAAAGAAATAAAAAAGAACGAAGGAAATGGAAGTTTATTTTAGGGTTTTTAACATTGCTCTCTTTCCTGAAACGCTGCTTATGACAACTCTTCAATATGCCATTATAAGTAAAGTTTCATAATTTGTGTCATGACGTGGTGGAATCAAGCGCTCGTCAATTTTTGGGCATGTGGAGTTATTGGTGTCATCTTAAAGTTTGTTCATTTGTCTTGCTTTAGGGGAAAACAATACCAATCTATCTTGATTAGTTGAGATATTTACGATTGAAGGAGGTAGGGGTTGCCTGGTTTCAGAGGTAAAATTAGAAAGAAAATGACCGCTAAAGTCTGGTGACTTCTAAACCTTGAGAGTACTTGGAAACAAAATTTTTTTATTTTTTTTGCCTTTAATCAATGTTTACCTGTCAATTCGACTCAGAAAGATGTTTTTAAACGGACATCAAAGGTGTTAAGCTAAAAAACAAAAATTTGCTAAAAACATCCAAACTGGCAGAAAATACCGGTTTCTTCTATTTCATTATTTTAACGAGCGTCTGATTTCACCATGATTCCTCACATTTTAAAAAAAGAATGTAAAAGATATACGAGCATCTTATGTTTATACATGTATTGTTGGTTGTGTTTGCAGAAATGGTGTTGGACAACATGATCAGCTCTAAACAGCTGGAGGAGCACCTGAGAGAACAGGTGCGCAACACCATCCTGTGTCGGCACCGCCACCAGAACGAGAAGAAACGCTCTCACAAGGAGGACGGTGGATCCCGCATGCACCTGCCCTTTGTCCGCTCTCTGGCCGACATTGGGAAGAAGTATTCAGAGCCCAAAGGTCTCTCGACGCGTAAGGAGAGATCCTTATTATATATACATTTTTTTAAAAAAAATTTTCCAAGTTGTAGAAATTTTTTTAAAACACTTAACACTCACTTGGCGCGATAATGCACCGGTGAAAATGATCCATTCTGTTAACCTGGCGCAGTTTTTCACAAAGCCCGAGAAGTTTGTTGCAGTCACTCTCCTGGCTGGATGACCAGATGGAGTATTTTGTACTGCTGGCTGTGTGACTGCAAAGTTGCGTGCTGTCAGTGAGAATTGTCTCCTACCTAGTCCTTAACAGTTTCATTGTTTGTGGCAGATAAGATAAGATAAGATATGATACATCTTTATTGTCCAGATCCTGGCACATTGGTTTGGTGTTTCACCGCGCACGCACACACAAACATGCACACACACACGCATGCTTACTACAGTCACACGCATGATATAAAGAAACAGTAGTAATATAAACAATAATAATCTTAAGCTAGATTCATATTCAGTATTCTGATTGTAACTCAGTGTTATTCTGATGCATACTCTAAGGTCATATGAATACTTGTAACGAGATGGCTAAGATGGAAGAATTTTGATGGATGATGGTAAAAATGGCCTTCCATATCTTTCTAGTGGAACCTGTCTTACAGGTACTGAGTTTTAAGTGTTAAAAGCTTCATCATGGAATAGTCAATTTGTGGCCACTATTGTCTGTTCATAGGTTTTTATTTTTTATAACGCGACCTCAATGCTTTCTTGTCGTATCTCAAATTTTTTTAGCACTAAAAATGTGACATCCTCTTATGACTTAAGATCATTCTTTATTATGAACTGTTTTCACAGTTATTAAAAATGGAGATACGACAAGAAAGCACTGGGGCTGCAATAAGTTAATTGATGGTGAAATCTGGTGGTTATTGTGCCTGGGGGTTCTCGTTCAATAGGTCCCAGGTTCAAATCCGAATAGTGACGGGAAATTTTTCTCCTCTAAAAATGATCTCCTTTCACCTCCTTTCCTGCTCTCCAGCAATGCTTTGTCCTCTTCTTTCACCTCCACTTTCTGCTCCCCATCCCCTCACCTTCTTTGTCCCTTCCTCTGGGCTCCTGCCTCTTTCTGCAGTCTTTCTACTGCTACTCCCTGGCTCCTTCTTACTGCTGTCTTTCAGCAACACCCCTGATCTACACCTAGCCTTCTTGGAAAAAGGTAAAAAATCTCGGGGATCTGGTGTGCAAGTTGAGCACGTTTAAGATCCCCTGTTGGTGCAAAACCGATAAGAGTAGGTTTCAAAAGTTCAAAATTTTCTACCAACTGAAAATGTTTCATGTGTCCCATTCGCTCATATGACCTTATGCAGTTGCGAGTGCCGTAAAACACTTACCAAAAAAAATGTTATTGTGCTGACATTGCAATGACCTCAGAAAGATTTTTGAAAAAATGCAGACCTTTGTGTCCTTTTATGGTCTCTGGTGATCTTATTATAATTTTAGAGCTGAAAGCAGTTTGAATTCAATGTTGGTGAGGCTAATTGCAAACTATGGGTGGTTGGCAGGTGCTCTAATGCAGTTTGCTTCTTCTTTCCTATCAAACATCTATCTTCCTTATCTCTCCTCCTTCTTTTTTGTGTTTGTTACTCTCTTGTAACATCTCTAATCTTTGACTTTTAAATGACCCTATTGTGTTGCAAGTGCCGTAAAAATCTTACTTATACTTTTTAAAATTGCGAACTCATTCCATTTTTTTCCATTTTTCACACAGATGAAGAACATGGTTTGGGGGCGAAAAGCACTCCTAACATCCAAGGTCTCAATAAAAATGGAGAGGAGGACAAGGAGAAGGGCCTCACTGTAAATCAATCCTTCCCGCACAACGTGCCCAGTGGGACAGATCTCTCTGAGACAGCTTCCCACAAGGTGAGCCGCACTCTATGGAGCGAGCAGCAGCTCCTTTATGTCCCCCTAGACTCACCCAGACTTTGTCTGAGTTTTTTGACTGCTTGTGTCTGTCGTAGAAACTGTCATTTGTAAATATCTTGTATCCTTTCTGACTGACCCGTGATATGGCTTCACTTATCTTATCTTATCTTATCTCAATTGTCTTGTATCCTCTCTGTCCTTATCTCAATTATCTTGTATCCTCTCTGTTCTTATCTCAATTGTCTTGTATCCTCTCTGTCTGAAGCATTATAATATGGCTTCACTTTAACTCCCTTCAGTCGATGAGATTATTCTGTTTGCGGCTTCTATTCCTAAAAGTCATGCTGAACTCGATCTTAAATAGCAGTTTTACGAATGAATAATTTGTCGTAGGGTTGTCTTACTGTAAAGATTTAGGGGGGGGGGGGGTGTTTGTTTTTGCAGTCATGTTATCCACACTGTCTCTTCCATTGATTCTGTGCAAAGATGATAGGACAGAATATTTTAAGATATCAAATTAATAAAAAGAATTTTTAAGAGGGTTTTGGGGGTGGGCGGGTGGAGGCAGGGACTAGATTTTGAAGAAGGATTCTGAAAACACCAGATCAGCTGCCTTTAATGATTATTCAGACTTGTAAAGTAGAAGTAGAATTTTTTAATACTTATCACTGGTTGTTTATGGGTGGAATATTTGAGAAAAGGCATAATTATAATTGTTTGATACGTCCATTTACCTTGGTGTCCTGATCCTATGCTCTCCCTCCCTCTCATTGTTGTTGCTTGTGTCTTTTTGTCTGTGTCTGATGTTTCCTCCTACTCTAGTGCCTGTGTCCTGTATTCCCATTGTGACAGTCATACCTAACAGCTGCCTTCCTTGCTTTGAAAGAAACAAAACCCACCCTTATTGTGCTGTATTCTATTGTTTGTTTTCTGTGTTCCTTTTCTGTGCTGAGCACTAGTTTTGTCTGTTAAAGCCTTCAGCCTTTCAGGATGTTGTCTTGACTCCCTTTCTGTCATGTCTGTTTTGATTTGCCTTGATTTATATATCATCATTAACTAGTTTTATTGAATTTATGTGATTTTCATTTCTGTTTGACGTGTAAAAAACCCAATTACATTTGGAAGTTTTTCTTTGTGCAGTGGTGCGTAACTTGGAGTAGAGTAGTGTTTGTAGAATTACTTGCCACTTTCTTGCTGCCTCATGTGCACCTGTATTACTGTTGTTTTTATACAGAAGAAAAAATCACCATTGATGTATACCTGGAAAATTGGTAGAAGGAGCACAGTACACAAATATGTATTTTATCGATCTATGCTAACAGATATTTAATCATTACTTCTGCTATACTAGAGACTCTGTTATTTTTACCTGCCTATGGTGTAGTGGTTCACCTCGCTGCTTTGCACTCAAAGGACGTGAGTTTGATCCCGTGCAGGGAATACATTTTCTTGGACTTCTGTCATCCTGCGGAATGTATCTCACACAGCCTGGGTTGACTAACAGAAAAGGTCAAAATAACCCGCCTTCTAGATTAAAAAAGTAACCTTCTTTGTCAGTAAAAGTAACCCACTTTCTAAATGAGCTTAATTGTATAAAGAGGCATAAAACATTTCCTCCTTGAAGGAGTCCAGAACGATCTATCAGCAAGACCTGATTTGTTTCTTCCAATGTCCCTTCCTGTGAGCCCTATGGGCTGTGCATCTTGCCTTTTTCTTCTTGAGCTGGGCATGAACATTTCTTTTCTCTTTTTTAATATTTTTGTCCCCTGTTTGGGGTGGGGGGTGGGGGGAAGACACCATGTGATGGAAAATTATGGTCGTTAAATACTTCTTAATAGTATCTGATCTAAAGTCTTAAGGTGTTGAGCTGGGAAACTTGAAAGTTGATAAAAGATACAGGGGTGTCTGTTGGTGGAAAATTGTTAGGTCTGGTTTTATTTGTTTGTTTTAGAAAAATTGCAAAACCTTACTGTTGCATAATGATGTTCTAGCTGCACTCCATGTGTTGTGGTTGTGTAGTATTTTCCTCAAGATGCACTCTGTACCTGTAGTTTGCGGTCATTGAGGATGGTCCACTCTGACTCATCTTGGCCTGATTATTTTGTGGCTGGTGATGAGGAACTAAATTGTCAGTTAGTCAGTATTGGAACTTTTGGGGGTAAGGGGGGAGGGGGGGAGTCCTGCATGAACTCTTTAAACCCGGAGTTTTTCTACAGCCACCTAAACCTGGTCCACTATGTCTCATTGTAATACCAAAAGTTTTTGCCTCCAACTTCTAAATGGCGAAAATAAAGACTTGGTCATTACTAAATAACTTGGACTGGGAATAGTTAATAGTTTAAAAAAAAAAAAACTAGCGCTAAATGAAACGAAACAGTTGTCATTAGCATTGGACGCAGCGTCTGATGCGATTTAAAGAGTTAAAAAATTGGGATACGAATTTAGAAGGATTGTCTATTATCTTCTGAAAACCTTTGAAGGTAACTAATTTGCTCTCAGATAATAAGTGTTCAATGCCCAGACTTGTTCATTTACACTATTTTTTCCCCTCTTTTTCTTTCCTAAATGGCCGTTATGACTGTGATGTGTCCCTCTTTGATTGACTGAATTCTCTGACTGGGAATGTGAAAAAGATAGAAATTTGGTGTTTGAATAAGAGAATGTGAATGCAATGAGGCCTCATCACCTCCCTTATTTCTCTGGTAACATTGGATGTGTTTCCCTAACCTTTGACTTTGATGCCTCTAGGAGAAAAGCTTATCGAAAGCGTCATCAATGAGGGTAAGACCAGGTAGCTTCTTCCACCACCCTCTTCTCACCCATCCTCACAGCTTAAAAGCAGTGTACACTTATCCAACTAGTCAGGTCAAATTAAGGAAAGGGGGCAGGGAGGGGGGGGTGACTATAAATGTAGAAGGGCTGCCTAGTGCACACTGATCACTTATCTGATTTGGCTTCAGTTTTCCACAAACAAGACTGACTTGTCTTTGCCCATGCTGTGTGTTTCTCGCTTAATGAGAGAGGAGAAGAAGTAAATGTCAGTGGTCATAGTTCCATTTGTCACTGGTTGTCTTCTGGTTAGCTATTGCCACACCACAAGTTGGACCCGCCTGACACTCAGAGAACAAACACTTGAATTCAGATGGTCAGATCGCGTTGTGCCAAAACTGGAGCCATCAGTGAAATACAATAGGATGCTGGGATCATTTACTGGGTCGTGCAGAATCAGCTGGGAATTGTGTATACATTTATATATAAGTGTACACTGGCTGTTACAAGATATTCCTTACCGCCCCCCCCCCACCCACCCCTTTAACACCTTCATCACAACCACAGTTATGTGTACCTCGTTACCGTTGGAACAGTTGTGTGGTGCTCACTTTTTTCTCTGACCTGCTGATGTCAGCCGAACATGTTCTTTACTGGAGTTAAGCAAAAACGTCTTTTAAATGAGAATGTCCTAATTGTTGCTCTTTTCTTTAGTAGAAATACAACTGAGGTGCTGTGTAGTATGTTATTTTTAAGGCTGTCTTTCTTGTAAAGCTTATGCAGTTGTGAGCACCATAAAAACCTTCCTAAAACTAAATTTTCTTGTAAAGGAAATGGAAGAATGTGCTCTCTGCTAATTTTAACTTACTGTCTGTCTTTTTTATCCTCCCCTGCCGAATAAAAAATCTTATAAGTATAAGAATTTTGATAATGCCTCGTACTTAATGTTCAAACTTGGGTAAATAGGATCATTAAAGTATGATCGAGTTATTATGAAATTTTAGAATAATGACAATATTTCTCTCAAGTTGAGGTGATTCAGCACACAACTGTTCCCATAAAGTGATCATTTATAATTTATTATTTTACTGGATGATGACATGAGCGATGGCTGCAATGGTACTGGACCTTCTGTCTTGGGCATTTTTGCATGTCTCGGCTTGTTGCTTTTTTTTTTGCTTGCATTTGAGTTTTTGCAAGATTGTTATTTAAAAATTTTTTAATATTTTTTTCATTTCATTTACCTTTTTTTTTCAAATCTTTTCAAGAAATATAGAACATATCGTAAGTTTTTCTTTATATGAGAATTTTCTTTAGAGGTTTATAAACGCTTTTCCTGTGTGAAGTACTGATAGACCTTTTCTTTACAGTATCATAAAACATTCAGTGGAAAAGGGTGACTTTTCAATTTCGTTCGCCCTTGTATTTGGGCGTTAAAAACTGGGTCTTTTAGCTTACTTTATGAGCAGGTGAGAAATAATATCTACGTTATTTCTGGTAGAAGTTCAGAAGTTGGATGTATGGTCACACAGGAGATGTGTTAAAAGGTCTACTGGGGAATCTTTTAAAACTCTTTTTAAGAAGATGTTATTTGGGGGGTTTTTTTGAAGGGGGTTGGAGGGGGGATTTATTCTTGATTTTACTTATATTTTGGAAAACAGTTCATATTTGCCCCCTCATTTGAGTAATCACTTGTAAGAACTAACCACCTCCCCCTCCCCTCCCCTTCCCCCACCCAAAGTTAAGGAAGCCTGAATGATGTGCCCCCAGCTTTTGCTTTTGTGCCACAAAGTGGTAAGACATGTTGCATGATGGCGAAGGCGAGCGTTGTAGATAAGATAAGATACTTCTTTATTGTCCAGATCCTGACACATTTGTTTGGCATGTCACCACGTACACACATACACACACGCGCACACTCATACACACACACACACACACAGGCTCACATGCACTCACAGATACACGCACACACACACACACTCACACACGCACGCACACATACCCACATGCACACAAACATACACACACATACATACACACACACACACACTCACACACACACTCACATACACACTCACACACACACTCACACACACGCATATACACACACACAAACACACACACCCAACACACACCGCAGATCCTGAGATGGGGGGGGGGGACCAGCCAGCCATGCCCTGAGCTTCCCATGTGTTTGTGCTATTGTCCGGCTGCTTGTTTTAACTGCCTTATAAATGTGAAATGCTAATACTCTTCCTGCCTCTCTTTTTATGTGTGTTTTTTCTTATTGCATGTGATTTTGCTGCTCCCCCTCTTTTTTTTATGGCCGCAGCGAATATTGCTTTCTCCCCTTTTATTTGGCCTTGGGTGTTATTTGCTAATGCAGTAATTAATTTATCATTTGATTGTCTTGGAATTTAAGCCTGTACTTCATTATCTTAAAATGCTTGACCAGTATCATTTTTTACAATTTGTTCAAAGTTGTTTTTTTACTCGTTCCTCTCGAGTTTCCTCTACTTTTTTCACAGAAGTCAACTACATTGATAATATGTGTTCTGTTGTTTTAGTTCTCCACACTGAGACTGTTTTTGTTGTAGAAACACTGATTATCTTGCCATGGTTTTTCACAGATTTCTCAAGTTCTTTTTCTTAAACTAATTTATGCATAGCACCCAACTATTTAGGCATAGTGTTTGAGTGACCCCAGCTTGAAAAGTAACTGCGTGAATTCGAATATTTTGATACCAAATGATGAAGGGACAGTTGAATTTTGTGCTACAAATCATTTTTACTCGTCAGAGAGATTTTCCTTTGTTTGATATCCACTGTGGTGTCAACATCATCAAATGAAAGCCGTAAAAATCAACCTCCGAATGAAAAGCAAGCCCAAAAGTACACTTTTGCTCATTTTGCGAAGTTGTTCTATCTTTTTAATCTTCAGACAATTCCTCTTATCCTTCACTAAGTTTTACGCCTCCCGGGCTATTTTTCCCTTGCTCAAAATCACGTTTTTCATAGTGTGGTATGTCGCCCAGTTATTTGGGCGCCCTGCACGAATAGGTACGTCAAAATTCTATATGTCAAGTAACAATATGCTTAGTTATAGTGTGGTTTTTGCTATTATTGATGGCATGCCGTAAGTTGGATGGTTTATCAGGTTCTGATATATATTGATTTACACATGGGATTTTGGTTGTTTCTTTTGTAAGGCAGTGAAAGATGCCTTTCATGTTGTAATGAATGGCTCCACACTGAAATTCTCAGAGGCAATTTACATTCCTGGAATGTCTGTGTTTTGTTCCTGTTTGATTAATCAGGACACAACAATTGTTCTTTAATTCCACATCTTCAACATAGTGTCTCGAAAATTACACATAAATAATGAAGGGAGTTCTTGCAGTCGGGTGTTCGTGTTTTGGTCCTGATGCTGATTCCGGACTCTGCGTGGAACAAGCGTTGAAACAATGTCAAATTTAATCTGCTACACAAAGTGGTATGACTTTACTCTGCACCTCGCCAGCACTTGTTTTGTGTTGTTTGTACATATTTGGGATTGTGCAAGACTACTCTGAACCGGTCACCCTGGAGATTTGGTTCTCTTGGTTTGTTGATGATACTTTTGTGTCAGTCGTTCGTGTTAATGATACCTTTTCATTTGTTCATGTTATTGATACATTTTCATTTGTTCATGTTATTGATACCTTTTCATTTGTTCATGTTATTGATACCTTTTCATTTGTTCAAGTTAATGATATCTTTTGTGTTTTGTTTCCCTCACCTTGCTTCCACCTGTCGTTGGATTGGAATTGCTATAGGTGCGTATTTAGCGTGTTGATTGAAGGTTCTCTATCTCAATGTTCTTTTCATTACTAACTCTTTAGGTGTGTGTGCGTGTGTATGTGTACATTTGCGTGAGTACATACATGTGTGTCAGTGACAGGTCACGTCAGTGTGTACTATGTTGTAGTAGCGGACTCACACAGCAGTTGTGCATAGTAACTTACAGTAGTAGGCTTTGATGTCTGTCTCAGACTTTTCGTTTGTCATGTGCCTCCATCGTGATACAGTCTGTAGCAGCACGAGGTAGATTCCTTATCGCATGAACTGTCTGTCTCCTGTCTCATCGTTCCAGCGGTCAAGTATTCTTTCAGTTTTTTTCTGCTGGTTTTGACAAAAATATGAGTGGTTGGTCTGTGAATGTTCCTTGGTGTTCTGCTCTTTTCCTTCTTTTCAGTGTCTTTGTTGATCCGTTGCTGTTCTTCTGTGAAATGTCGCTGCTGTCATGCAGCTTCATCAGCAGCTGAAACAACAACAACAACTACCACACCAACAACAACAACAACACCACCACCAAAGCAAAAGTTTCTTTTTGGCAAGCCGGGCTCAGAACTTCTGAGTTGGCCTTGGTGTGATAGTTTGTCTTTGTGTAGTCTTTGATAGAAAAGATGTGTAGCGAGCACATTTTTTGCGGGTGTAAATGTTCACTTCCTTGTCTCGATCATTCATATGTTTTATACTTAGACTCTGTTCTCACAAAGACTGCTATAAAGACACAAATTTATATTTATGTGAAGTTTTAAACTGTCAGAGCCATTTGTCCAATCACATGCCCTGCTCTGTGAATGTAAACAATGTATGATCTATCTGAAAAAAGGATATATATATATATATATATATATTTATATGATATATATATCTTCTGTAAGGAAAATTTATTTTTCCTTTCATCACTGGATATTCAAAGCCATTCTATCAACGCTGACTTTAATTCCACAGTAGTAATGTTGTTATGGAGTAGAATTAAGAGGTGGCGTCAGTGCCCTAGTGGTGAGATTGCAGGTACGGAGATTCGAGCCTCAGCTCGGTCTGACGTTTTGTCCTTGGGAAAGGCCCTTTACACGAATTTCCCACTTGGCTTGATCCTTTCGGAGATGGACACTACACTCAGAGGTCCTGCCTCTTAAATGACTTAACAGTGTGGATAGGGGTGTTAAACCTGTACCATTTCATTTCATTAGAATTAAGGCCTTATACTGTTGCTGTAGCGTACACCTACCTCTATCCATCTGTAGCCTAAGTAATATGTGCCTATTACCTTTTCTATCTTTGTCTGTTCTGTCTTCCCTTCCCCACTCCTTACCTTTCTTGACACGGACTCCTGTGATCAGTCTCTTGTTTAGTCGGTTATCACTGTTCTTTTGATTGTCCCCTGAACAAATGCTTCATAAGCTTAAGAATAATACACATGCCTATAACGCCAATGTGCTCAGCAAGACTCCCATTATCGCATGTTTATTTTTGTGCAGCTTACTTATACTGAAATTGATTAAAAGGTAATAATAAAGTCCAGATTAAACTAACAAATAATGAATAAGGATATTGCCAACAATCAACGCCAAACTAGTTAACGCTCATGTTATTGTAGTTGATGAAGTTATCCAGAATTATGAAATCCTGATTCATTTAGTAAGCTGCGCTGGTTCTGTGGTTAGGTTTGGCTCAGGAAAGTTCTCAACCAAGCGTATATTTCTTTCACTGTCAAACTATGGCATTGTTTACGAGTGAACTGCCGCCTAGAACAAAAAAATTAATGTTCCTTGATTTAGATTTATATAATAACCCAAATCTGAGTTGACATGATATAAGAAAAAAAGTTTGAGAGAAAGTGTTCAAGGAACTAACAAATTTTTAATGGTATTTGGTGTTTTATTTTAAGGGATGGAGTATTTTGAAACTGATTCACGGATTTATTTTTTGTAATCTAGTTAAAATGTCCTTTCCTATAGATGTATGTCTGAATGTATGTTTCTGATAATTGTATCGAGAGGTCCCTGTTTTTCACTTGCATCCTTTGGAGAATCAAAGGCACAAACTGCACCTGACACCAAATGTAAATTTTCCAACTGACCTCTGTAACAAACTTCTTCTCTGTTTGGGCTATATTTCTACTTGAGTACGTGTCTGACACTTGCACCATGAAGATCATGGTCATCCCTCATTGTCTGTGTGGTTGGTTTGCTCCTTTCCTATAAAAAGTCTCTCGTCTCTATCTCCCCTCCTTCTTTTTTTTGTTTGTTACTCTCTTGTAACACCTCTAATCTTCGGCACTTATATGACCTTATTGTGTTGCAAGTGCCTTAAAACTCATACTAAAACAAAACAAACAGACATTGTCTGTGGGAGTAACACTGAGATGAACTACGCACAACAACAAAAAAAGGTTAATTTTTTTCAAAGCTGTCCTAAAGAAAAAAAATTGTTCTCATTTCTTATTTCTGGTAGGAGTATGTTTGCAGTAGTTTGCATCTGTAGGGGTTCGTGGTAGTCGTACATCCTCCTGTTTGTTGACTCATCCCCGCACACAATTGTTTGCCCTCACTTCCTCTTACATTGGATCATTCCGGATTGCCAGATTGTCTCACGGTTTTTCTTTCCTTTTGTTCCTTTTTTTTTTTGGTTATTTCAGATTCAGGTAAGACCAAACAAAGAGCAAGCTGCTTTGTAGTAGTGTGTCTTTGCTCATTTGACTGGCATTAATTAACCCTCTTCTTTAGTTTTGTTGACTTCTCTTTTCTTTATTTTGTAACAATTAAGTCTTGCGTGTCCTTCACCCTGTGCCTGTGGTGTGGAATCGCTGGGAGAAGGGGGGGAGGAGAGCTTTGTATAATTGTCACATTTATGATTATTTATGTAGACTGCACCTTGAATTATGCTCCAGTTTGGTGTTAGCTTGCCACTGTACTCTCAAGTTTTTATACTTTCATCGTGCTTTTATAAATCTGTGTTTCACTCACTTCAATGAGATGTAGGGCCTACTAGTTTTCCCAAAACAAGTTGGTCAAGACTTTGGCTCATTAACAGTTAATAACAGAGAATTGAAATGTAGCGGATGAACCCCTGGTTAGATATAAAGCTGTATTTATTATTGTCTGTACCGAATTATTTTACTGTAATCAACACTGTCCATGGCGTTTTGATGTTTGCTTTCAAGTGTGTTACTGATTCGTATCGGAAAATGGAAAGCCTTTTATGAGAGTTTTTTCACAGAGCACAAACAGGTGTGACTTTACACGCTGCAGCAAGAATTTATTTTGTGTGCACGTCATTTAACTTCAGATTATAATTCTATGACTTGATTCCTGAACCTGGCATTTAGAATTGTCATGGAGTGTATCCTGAGCCTACACACTTCTCTCTGTGGGCCTAGAGTGTATCCCAACCAGTCTTGTTCAGTGTCGGTGACATTTGCCTGTTGACTGTTTCATGTTTCCGGCACATTGTACTTATAAGCCTATCGGAAAGAGGAGACAAATAGTATAATTGTACATACATATATATATATCAGAAAGAGGAGACAATAGTATTACATGTATTGCAGGCTACATATATCAGGAAGAGGAGACAAAAGTATTACATGTATTGTAGGCTACATATTATATCAGGAAGAGGAGATCAAAGTATTGTATGTATTGTACACATGTATTACAAAAAGTATTTAAAAGTACAGACAAGTGGGATTTTCTCTCTGTTCTACAGATGACATATCCTGCAACAGTCAGGCAGGCTTGTGTTTATGATATTTTAAGTTCTGAACTCAAATTAATCATCGAAAAATGGAGCTCGAAGAAATACTACTCATTAAAGAACTGGTGTTAAGTTGGGGGGGGGTTCAAAAGGCTGCCAGCAGAGTGCAATCACTAAATACATGGAGATTTCGAGGTTTGATTTTTTTAAAGTTAAAAAGAGAAGTGGGGATTGTTAACACTTTTTGGACAGTTGAAAAGTTTCAGCGTAAATTGAATGCCTCGCTTATATGGGATTTTTAAAATACTAGATCAGGTAAAAAGACAGAAGTTTCGCCAGGAATGCTTATTTCATCTGTAGAAGTTTTGAATTTATAGTGTGTATTCTGAAATAACAAAGTATGCCTTATACAATGAAGGGTAGGGCTTCTAGATTCAGGCTTCCTTTAAGCTGAAAAGGATTGGCAAGTCTTTCTGCTGTCTATCATTGAGCGCATCTTGCTCACTGGAATGAAATGTGTCACGGCATGGTGGAATCAGGCGCTCGTCAATTTTTGGGCATAATGTAAGGTTATTGGTAGGACTATTGTCTTAAAGCTTGCTTATTTGTGTTGCTCTAGATGAAAGAAATGCCCATCTATCTTGAATAGAAGTCGAGATATTTGTGATGGAAGGAGGTGGGAGTCGTCCGGTTTCAGTGGTAAAATTAGCGAGCAAATGGCCGCCAAAGCTTGAGAGTGCCTGAAAACGATAATATTACATATTTTGTGCCTTGAATCAACGTTTTTCTGCGAAATTCACATGGAAATGTGCTTTTAAATGGACACGAAAGGTATTGACCCTAATAACAAAATTTAGATAAAAATTGCCAAACTGGTGGGAAAGTGCCTGTTTCTTGAATTCCATTATTTTGACGAGTGCCTGATTTCCTCATGATTCCTCACAATTGTTTTCATTTCCCTCGTGTTAAGCAAGCATGCTGTCCTGGGTGGGTGGTGGATGTGTTCAAAAGTAACTTGTAAGGTTTTTAAGTCATTTTTTTCTTCTCCTTTGTGCACTAAAGAGTATGTCGCTTGGTTGTTGTTTTTCAGCCTCAAAATGAATACCATTGAACTTTTAAGTGGGTTTTATGTCTCGTGGAGATAACCTTGTTGGGAAAATCTTTATTTTAAAAAACCCATCCCACTGTAGTATATCTAACAGAATGCAACTGTAGTTATTTATTCGGTTTGTACAATGAGCAATAGTTTTCAAATAATGTCGACTCAACAGACTACAATCAAGAAATATCTTTTTCATTTTTCAAACAGATAGGGAATTTATCTTATTTCGTAATTAATATATTGCAGTGGAATCTTTGGTCAGAGTGTTGTAGTTTTTATTTTTCTGCCTCTGACCTGTGTGATTCTGCACTTTCCATAATTGATTTGACCTTATCATCTTCTGTAACTCTCGTAGAGTATATTAATCTCAAACTCTGTTAATTCTCTTTTGTCAATTAACCTTATATCCCTATGTCTTTGCTCTTGTAGAGTCTGTTCACAGTGGGTGAAAGGAGAAAGATGGGGATGGGAGGAAAACCCTATGTCTCTTCTTTACGCAGAGGCCTTCTTACAGCTGCATCATTGATGCGTTGGTAGCCAAGTGGCTAGGCTACCGGACTCGAAATCGTGAGATTGCGGGTCCAGGAGTTCGAGCCTCAGCTCAATCTGACGTTGTGTCCTTCGTAAAGACACTTTACACAAATTTCCCACTTGACTTTGTCCTTCTGGAGATGGAAGTTAAACTCGGAGGTCCTGCCTCTTAAATAACCTAATAGTGTTGATAGGGGCGTTAAACCCATACCATTTCACCATTTTCAGAACTGCATCACAAATCATCTCTCGTGTGTGGTGTACTTACGTACATCAGCATCCTTTGCTTCCTGGTAGTTCTTGCACCTTGTTTGTCCGTGCACCCCTTAAGCAAGGGAGTTGGAAGGTGCCCCTGATAGGTCCTACTTCTTTTCTTTCCCTCTGTTGTTCTTAGCTGACCGTGAGGGTGGTTGGAGGGCACCATTGGTAGGTCCTTTTTTCTTTGCTTTCCCTGGTGTTATTTCTGTCTACCTGTCTTGCTCTCTCCCTGCACTAAATGACCATTATCCGTCGATGTGCTTCTCCTTATACAAACTCAATGAGCTAGCTAACTGTTTCCCAGTTCCTTGCACTAAATGACCGTTATTGTGTAAATGTGCTTGAAGTGGCATCGGTAGTCTAGTGATTAGGCTGCCGGACTCATTATCATGAGATTGTGTGTTCGGGGCTTCAAGCTTCAGCTCGGTCCGACGTTGGGCCCTTGTGAAAGACGCTTTACACGAATTTCCCATTTGGCACGGTCCTTTCCTTTTGGAAATGGATGTTTAATTCGGATATTAAATAACCTAATAGTGTTGATAGGAGCATTAAACCTATACCATTTCACCCTTTCCCTTCCTTGGAAGTGTCATCAACAAGGCAGGGGGAACAGATAAAGACATCAAGGTCAGAATCCAAAAGGCAAGAGCAGCATTCATCATCTTCAGGAATATATGGATGTCTAAGGAACTTGGATTGAACACCAACGTGAGGCTCTTCAAAACAAACTTGAAGACTGTTTTACTGTATGGTTCAGAGACATGGAGGCTCACAGCATCAGCTTCAAGAAAACTTCTGAGCCTCATAAATGGATGTCTGAGAAGGATAGTGGGGATCAAGTGGTATGATAGAGTCACCAATGCTCAACCGTGGGAAAGAACAAGCCAAAGGTCAGTATAGGAAGACATACAGGTGAAGAAATAGAAATGGATTGGGCACACAATGAGGAGACCCCCAACAAGCATCGTCAGACAGGCTTTTACATGGAATCCACAAGGAAAACGTAAGAAAGGAAGACCAAAGATGACATGGAGGCGAGCAGTACAAACGAAAATGGAAAAGGTGGGGAAACCATGGCAACAGCTAGAAAAGGATGCACTGGACTGGGTTCGCTCAAGAAATGTTGTTGATGGCCTATGCTCCACTGGGAAAAAAAGGACAAGAGAGATTTCACCATTTCACAAAGCACCTGGTTAGATCACCAGACCTTGTGCCAAAAGGATTTTCACCTCCTGATACCTGTTGTACAGTGTGGCTCTGGAACGTACCTTTCCACACTGTCCATGCTCATGACAAAGGCAAAGGATACTGCTCAGCCACCAGCTAGTGGGAGGTCCCGCCTCTTAAATAAACTAATAGTGTGGATGGTCGTTGGGTTTTCTGGGGTGGTTTGTCCCTTCTTTCCAAAGAAACATCTGTCATTATGATCTCTCCTCCTCCTCCTTTTTTTACGTTTATCACTCTCTTGTAATACTTCCTGTCTTTGGCACTTATATGACCTTATTGAGTTGCAAGTGCCACAAATCTCTTACTAAAACTAACCTTATAGTGTTGATAGAGGCGTTAAACCCATACACTTACACTTACTTAGCCATCAGCTGTACCTTATTCAACTGTTGCAGGAACTAAGTGTTCTGTCTGGGAAGCACTTATTAGACACTCTAATTTAGCCACCTATTTATTATGCACATTACTTTTTAAATCCATGTATATTTATACTTAATTCATATTTATTCATAGCATCAAAAATATCATTGTTGTATTCTATTCATTTCTTTATTTTCTTGGTTAGCAAGTACAGATTCATGTGAATGCTGCTATATATATATATATCTATATTTCGTAACTCTGGCACCTGAAATAAGGGACTATGGGAAAGTTGTAATTGTTATTTTGAGCATGTACAATGTATTTGTACTTTAAATTTGATACTTTTCCTCTCTCTTTAACAGGCTGTCTCCTTTTTCCCCTCAATTTTAACTCTTTTCAGGTTATCTTCAAAGTGAGGACCTATTGTTAAAAGAAATGTATGCAAATATAATTACATCCTGAAAGAGTTTAAACCAAAACTTTGTTGCAATGGATGAATAAGAAATTAAAATTTGTATTACATGAATATGTGGACAGACTAGTAAAGTGAAACACTGTGTTAATGAGTCTTTTACCAAAGTGCAGTTTTAAAAGCTGATTAAGCCTCAGTTTCTCTTTTCATATGTCCAAATGAGACCTAGGAGTGCTTTTCCCTATTGCCGTGTATAATAAATAAATTACCCTTCTGGTCATTTTGTGTTTGCTTCTGGCAATTAACAGCATCTGTTCTGTGGAGATCCCTTTGCAATTCTGTCCTGTGAATATGCATCAGAATTTGAGTCTTTAAAAGCTTGTTGGATTTTGTTTTGTGGAAAATGAATATGCATTTATATATATTCGTTTTTGTCTATTTATTTATCGTCTTTGTACATTTTGTAATAGTTTGAATATTATGTGTACAATACTCTGGGTAAAAGCTAAATTTCTTTTTTTCAGATTCACTCACATTTTTTATAAACTTTGTATAACTGCCAGGTTATATACTGGTTAGCCATCTCATGTTAACAAAGGATGATATCTCTTTCAGGAATTTTTTTTTTTTTTTTTTTTAACTTTTCCTACTTTTCCATACAAAGTTGCTTTACAAGACTTTTGTTTTTGCTGTGAACATTTTACTAAATGGATCAATTAATTTAGATTTTTTTCCAGCTAATGTTTCTTTTTTTCTGATGAAAGCTGTTAAATTTAATATAACTTGATCTGTGGAACAAAGAAGTAGTCAGAAAGGATTTTGCAAATTCTGTGACACATATCATCAGGAGAGACCTACCATGGAACAGTGGAACAATGCTTACACTATTTTTCTCACTTAACCTGTTAAAGTTATACTTTACACAAAGCCTTTGGGTAATGATGTAAATGGTTCTTTTTAAGCACAAGGGGGCTATCCCGAAAAATGTTGTTTTGAGAAAATGGAAGATAAAGTTTTTGCCCCTTGTTTAGTTTCTTTAAAAGACAAGACAAGGAGAGTTTTCTCTATAACCAAACAAATATACGCACCAATGAAACCAAACTTCTCCTATAGATAGGGCAATGCCCACTTTTGGTGTAGGTCAAGATTTCTGGAAACCCCTGAAATCAGGGTTAGCCGGCTTGCTCTTAAAAGCGACCAAATAACTTAACGCCGTCCACTCTACCTCCCAGAACCTCCACTTCATGAAAAAAATCCCACCCGGCGCTGAGGCAGCAAACATCTTTGTGGGCGAGGTGGAGTATCTGAACCACCAGATCGTGGCTTTTGTGCGACTCTCCAAGGCTCAGGTGCTGGGTGACCTCACAGAGGTTCCTGTGCCCTCACGCTTCCTCTTCTTATTGCTGGGACCGCTCGGGAATCAGAATAAGTTCCATGAGGTCGGACGCTCCATTGCTACGCTCATGTCGGACGAGGTGAGTGATTGGGTCTTGCTGTGTCTGTACTCTTTTCTTGTGAAATGGGAGCAGGTGGGTGGTTGGCAGGTGCTCTGGTGTGGTTTGTGTTCTTCTTTCCTATCAAACGTCTATCCTCTTTATCTCCCCTCCTTTTTTTTGTTTGTTACTCTCCTGTAACACCTCTAATCTTCGGCACTTATATGACCTTATTGTGTTGCAAGTGCCGTAAAACTCTAACTGAAACTAAAATGCGAGCATGTGATTTTTAGAAAATATGGATTTTACTTCAAATTTCAAAGGGATTATGCAAGGTTGATCACAGCAGATCTTTGACATGTTGTACTCTTTATGAATAAAAGCAGTTTACACAATATAGATTCTACCATTAATCGTCCTCAGCCATGAAAGAAAAAAATGCGTTTTTTATTAGTTCTTTAAATATCCTGCAAAATCATTTTGAGAATGAAATTGCCTTAGACAAAGTGCCATTGAACTTGAAGAACCCCAGCTATTTTAGAAAGAAGACCCATGGGTTTTCGCTGTATTGTGAGATATGGGTCATTGACCAACACAGTCACCTAAGTGACTATTGAATGGAAGACAGACCAACAGGAGATATTGGTCTCTCGACCATCTAAAGCTCAAATGGGCAATTCCTGAGAAAGCGTAACAGCATCATGTAACAAAGAACACTGGATAAGTGTCTGGTTGTCTTATTCCTACAGTAGATCCAGACAATGTTTACAGCTGAGAAATATGTAGCATAATATGCTCATTATAAAGAAATTGGCTAGCAGCTCTCTCCATTCTTGTCCTGTTCTCAGTCTCAGAGCATCCCTGAGCTTAATAGATGTCCATCCTAGTATCTTTTCTTCTTTTTCTTTACCTTTCACTCCCCTTGGTGTCTTTGAAGTGATCATGTTTTAGATAGGCCCTATGACGAACAGTTGCCTAGAAGCTGTTTGATCTCGGAAGCTTCAAACAATTCTGAAGTATGACGAGTGTTTCCCTAGAAGTTAAGTCAGCTGTACTGAAGAGTAGGTTGTTTCCAGGTTTGTCATGATTTAGACCCACACTTATTCCCCTTCGTCCAGTGCCAGATCTTCGACATATTTTGGCGATCATGATTCTCCATTCATTCCTTCTGATTTTTCCACGATACCCATTTGTTTAGGTTCTCTAAGTAGTTTGCTGCGGGCCTACCTCTGCCTCGTTCGCCTTCAATTTTGCCAGTGAGAGTTAGATGTTGAAGACCTTTACGTCTATTCAGGTGTCCCAAAAACTGCATTTGTTGTTTTAAAAAATGTTTGGGTAACCCCGTGCAGATTTTCCACGACGTGGCGTACCATGCTCATAACCGCGAGGATCTTCTTGCCGGTATTGACGAGTTCCTGGGTCAGGTGACTGTGCTGCCCCCTGGCGAGTGGGATCCCTCGATCCGTATTGAACCACCCAAGTCTGTGCCATCTCAGGTGAGTGCATTGCCTTCTTGTCTTTGGGATATTCCATTCCAGTTTGTTCTATTTTTTAGAATTGAGGTAAGATATTTTGTTTTGTTGGTCTCTCAGTTCTGAAATAAGTGAACACAAAGACAACCATGAAAATAACACAGTGCTTGTTCTCAAAAGCATGCACTAGACAAGTTTTCAGGATAGAACTGATGTTTTCTTTACGGAAAAGGGGTTTTGTTATATTTTTTCATAATGCATGAAAAGTATGTATGAAAATACATTGTGATGCATGTAAATTTTACAAAGTGAGAGATTGAGTGGACAAGTGGAATGAGGACAGAGATTGACTGTATGAATAAAAAAAGTCGGATTTGGTTTTTATACAATCCAAGAAAATGTCAGATGAGAGCTGCAAAATTTATATCTGATATTGTTATTTTCATATTTATTGCAGGGTGGATAACTATACCATTTTCTTCAATACAATACACTGAATGCGTAAAAAATGAAGACCGCCATCTTTTTTATTTATCAATGCATAGAATATAAAATACACATAAATGTAATGGCAACAAACGTAATATATTTACCAAAAAGTCATCAAATTGTTTAATAGTATAATCATTCAATAATTTTTTTTCCGACATGGTGGTGGGCCTGGGGACTGCAGTTTGGTAACCCCTAATTCAAAAGAATAGAAAGTATTCTGTTGAGTCATCTGCATGTCTCTTCGTTTGTGTCCACTACAGGAGGGAAGGAAGACTGCTTCTTCCGGTCCCCCTCAGCCCAACGGAAAGCTCACGGCAGATGAAGAGCCAGAAGATCATACTGATCCCACTTTAGTTCGCACGGGCAGGTGAGCGCTCAGACCTTTTGACGTCCCTCTTGAGTGAAATCAGATTCCCTGTTGTCTTTCACCTTCTTTCATGTGTCCCCCCCCTCCCCCCACTAGTGCAGTGCCACTGACTGAAGTGTCTTTAGGCCATTCCCAAAGGGGGAATATTAACATGTTCTTATGCACAGTAGAATTGTAAATGGGCTGTGTTATCAATGTCATGCTCATGCTGTGCCAGAACAACATATTATTAAGGGGGAACTGCTGCCTTTTCTTTCCCCATCCATACTATCGTCATTTTTCCTCTACTTCTTTTATATGTTTATACTTTTATATGTTGTGAACTGCTACTCCCAGGGTGCCTTGATAGTCGAAGCAGACTTTGTGCTGTTGAGGCTAGAGAAGTGAGCAGAGTAAGCCTGATTCCCTGTTTGGACTTCTCTGTTGATATCCACCCCTTGGCACTCATATGACCTCATGCAGTTGCGAGTGCCATAAAACCTGACTAAAACTTAAGCTTTCATGTGGGTGGTTAGTGGATGCTCTTTTGTGATTTGCTCCTTCTTTCCTATCAAATATCTATCACCTTTATCTCTCCTCCTTTTTTTTCTTTGTGTGTTACTGTCTAGTGACACCTCAATTTTTTAGCACTTGTATGATATACAGGAGTTTCATGTTCCATAAAACTTCATTCTTTCAATTCCTAGTTAAAATTCGCCTGAAAAGTCCCCCCTTTTCCAGAGAACAAGCTAGTCATATACAGTTTTTTTTAATTGGCATTGTCCCTGTTTATGAATAAAATTATGTGTTTGTTCTAAACTGCTATATGTTTTGTTATTTTCTGCTCCTTTACCCTTTTGGGGTCACACCAGAAGCTGAGATGGTTGGAGAACCCTCTTTCCTGCCCCAAATGACCTTTACAGTGTCTATGTGTTCCTATCTACTCATAAAACATAGCATCAACAGGAATGTTACTTGTTCATGAAACTTCTCTTTTCTTTTACTTGTCTTCTTCCTTTTTTCGTAGATTTCTTCTTAAATTGAAGGAATTTTTTCATTAGTTCGTTTCTATTTTACTGCCACTTGAACCCTAAGAAACCGAGAGTCCCCTTGTTGATTCACCCTCAGGATATTTGGAGGTCTACGAGCTGACATAAAAAGAAAACTGCGTGTTTACCCGAGTGACTTCAAGGACGCATTGAGTGTGCAGTGTGTTGCCTCTTTTGTCTTCTTGTACTTCGCTTGCTTGACACCCATCATCACTTTTGGAGGTCTCCTGGGAGATGCTACGGACATGTACATGGTAAGTACAAAGTCAGTACTTAAATATATCTTAAGTCTTTATCTCCTGGTGGGGTAAGCCCACTACAGCGGGCCCTGTTTTGGTACTAAATCTAAAAATTACAAAAATATCACTAAATGGGTTATTTAATCGAAACAAGTGAACCTATTTTGATAGTTTTTCGTCAAATGGATGAACTCACCTGAAAAGAGACCTGTCCTCAGAGATGGCGGAATCCTTTCCCTGCTAAAAAGTATGTGGAAGAAGATGTGGTTTCTGTAGTGTTGAATCACATTTTCCTCTTGCATGAGTCCCGGTGCAAAGAGTTCACGAACATAGTGTGTGCTTCTCTCTCTTTTCTCCTGTGTTATTTTCTTCTTTAGCATTGCACACGTGAGGAAAGTTTTAACAATGATGCTAATCTTCCTCTTATCCAAGGAATTCTGGAGTTTTGAGCCTTCTGAAGCGATTTCTCCGCGATCTGGCATCCTCCAGAGTCTCACGAAAGTTGAGGCATAGGTGTATGCGAAAATTTAGTTCAACGAGCGTGAATTCTTAATTGACAATATTTTGATTTATTTGTTTTCGTTTTGGATGGTTTTCTTTAGATCTGTTCTTGATTCTTATTCATTTGCACGCGTTTCCATGCTTGCTTCATACAGGCTTCTTCCTCTCCTAGTTTGGTCGTGGGAACGATGATTTTCCTCCTATTTGACTTTTTTTCATTAGCATCACTGTTTTAAGTATTTCTCTTTTTTTTATGACTGCCTTTAATTTTGGCATTTGTATGTTGTTAGTGGCCCAAAGCAGAGACTGGTGGAGAGCTTCTCTTGGCGGCCTATACCCAGTACCAGGGTGACATAGGCGAATGATGATCGATTGAATGATGAAGTTGTTAGTGTGCTGTATAAATGAAAGATTGAATCGAACGGAGCCTTGACTCACAGTGATCGTGTTTCTGCCTCTGCAGGCTGCTCTGGAGTCGATCCTGGCTGGTGCTATATGTGGCATTGTGTACTCTCTGTTTGCTGGACAACCACTGACCATTCTGGGCAGCACAGGACCTGTGCTGGTGTTTGAGACCATTCTCAATTCTTTCTGCAAGTGAGTGCTTCTTTTTGGATACCTTTTTATTTTTCAAATCGGTTGGATTGTATTTGCAGAAATTGATTAATGTTAGGATGGTGTATTACATACTGTGGTCATGTGAACTATAAGAGAGGATGCAAGACCATCAAATAGCATCTTGGATGTTTTGTCTTTAACTCATATGGGATAATGATCAAGGAGATTTCTAACTCATCCCCCTCTCAAAGATAATGATCTTTGTAGTCTTAGTTCGTTGTTCGTATTTTCTGCTCATTCTTTGTGTTACACACTTTTCTTTGATGATAATAATAATTAATAATAATAATAATAATAATAATTATGATAATAATAATAAAAATGAAAATGGCAATAGTAGAAGTCTTCTTGTCAAGTCACCACAGAGAGAGTAATTTAAATTGCTCCTGACTGGTTGTGATCTATTCCCTGCTGCCCCCCATCCCCCCCCCCCCCACGCTCACATACACACATGTGTGCTCTCACACATATAATGTGTAAACGCCTCCCCCCCCCACACACACACACACACTACACCCACACATACGCTCTCACACATATAATGTGGAAACTCCTTCCCTTCCCCCCCCCCCCCACACACACACCCAAACACACTCTCTCTCACATGTTTAATGTGTAAACTCCTCCTCCACACACATACACTCTCACACATATTATGTGTAAACTCCTTCCCCCCACCCCCTCCCCCACACACACACACACATACTGACACACATACTCTTGCGTATATAATGAGTAAATTCCTCCCCTCAAACTCCGTACTTGTCCAGAGACAACGGCTTGAACTACCTAGAGATGCGGCTGTGGGTGGGCGTGTGGACGGGTTTCATCCTGTACATCATGGTGGCCTTTGACCTCAGCGCCCTGGTGCGATACATCACCCGCTTCACCGAAGAGAGCTTTGCTGCTCTCATCTCCCTCATCTTCATCGTGGAAGCGTTCGCAAAGGTATTCCGATGCGTTGACTATACCACATTGAACTTATTGTTTGTATTGCTGTATTTGATATTCCGTTGATATAGATGTAGCGAGTGATTTGAGGATACTGCTTGCTCATCTGACTTCTTTCTCTCACCCTGTTGGTAGTTGATAGATGCGCTGGTGGGGTTTGCTGCCTCTTTTCTACCAAACATCTATTGCCCATATTTCTCTCAATGATTTTCTGTCTAACACTTTGTTTTCTTTCATTATTCTTACCTCTTTTACTACTGTACTACTGTTTATCAACTGAATGCCAACAGTTCTGCAAGAGGAAAGTAATTACATAATGCAACGTTCATGAACTTGTTCCTAGGACTGAATTAACACTAAGATGTGATTGGAGTAAAACCCTTTTGGAACGTAATGACTTTTTCCAAGATTTAGGAAAAGGTTGAGAATGACTTCTGTTATCGCAATAGTCTCACTTTATGGAAAATAAAAGAAACTCCAAGTAAACTGTATAAATGGACAGGGTGGTTCATGATGGAATGATTGTGGTGATGTACATCGATGTAGAAATTATATCATGAAAAACATAATGCCCCTGTTGAAGCCTGAAGGTGAAACTTTAGACTGTTCGTAAATACTACTTTATTTTCTGGAACACAATCTTAGTCTCTGTGTATTTTTTTAAAACTTCTTTACAAAATTGATGATCCTGGTAATTATGGTCATCACTTCTTGTAAACTAAAACTCAACAAAAGAATTCTACCCCTGTTTCAGGTATTCAAGATTGCTAAATCTGACCCGCCAAACCTTGACCCAGGAGCGGAACTGGACTACAACTGCACCTGCTTCCTCTCCAAAAACATTACTGATGTATACGATCCTGCTGTGTCCTTCGGCAACGCCAGTAGCTACTACAACGTGTCTGCCGACTCTGTGCTCGAGTTCCTCAACGACACCCTCATGGTCATCTCTAGGGGTGCTTCGGAAAAGGAAACGCGAGAGGTGACCAGTTCCTCAACAAATTCACATCTTTTTTTCTTCATCTTTTCGTTGCTGAGATGTGTTCATCTAGTCCTAGCATTTTTGTACAGAAAAGATTATGTGTTCACTCAATAGAAGACAACACAGCCAGAATATCTTTCCCCTTATTTAAGAATAAGTAATTTCTCGAGTTGTAATTACATCTCCTAAAACCTTCTCTATAGGCCAGTAGAAAAAAATAGCAGAGAGCCAGTACATGCATCTACACAGCAGTGAAGATGACGATGATGATGATAAAATCAATAATAATAATAACGACAATAATGATAATACTAATGATAGTAATTATAAATAGCAATTACATAGCTGTTTAATCTGGCTAGGAAACAAACTCTGAGTGCTGCAGAAGTGAAAAAAAATGACAATGTTCTTGAACCAGAACAATGTGGCTTAACAACTGACGGACTGTGATATAATCTTTATAATGTTGAGCACAAACCAAATGTGTTAAAATCTTTTTAGGGAGCTTACTTTATTGGTATCATTGTTTAGATAGTGAACTTAATGAATAACTATTTTTGAAAGAAGCAAAGGTTCATATTTCCTATGGTAACTGGAGATCATTATAGGGATACATGTAGTGATGATATGATGATATTGAAATGGGTAGAAAGTTTCATTATGTTTTGAAGTTAGTTTATCTCAATGCTTAGGCTGTTTTCTTTCTTTAAATTTGATCTGAATTTTGAAACAAAGGTAGCCTACTGTTTTTACGTATTAATCTTTTATTAAAAATTCTTTTTTTCAAGTTTGAAAAAAGTGACTTGACTCTCAGAATGCATCGGTTGTATGGTACTATGTTCTGTCCATTCTAGACGGGTGTATGTCATTAGGTCATACTGGAGTTTTTCAAGTGTTTAAACAAGCTCTAGAAGAAGCTGTTCATAAGAAATTTACAATAAAGATTTCTGTTGTGATCCGAGTGATTTTTCAGTGGTCCTTATTTTTTATTATTATTTTTTTAAATGTTTCACGACGTATTTCTCATTCTTCCTCAGGCATGCATCGAGGATAAAGGCGAAATGGTGGGCCCAGGATGCGACACGACGTTCTTTGTTTCTGACGTTTTCTTTTTCTCCTCCATGCTCTTCCTGGCCACGTTCACTCTTGCCATGTCCCTCAAGATGAGCCGCAACGCTTCCTTCTTCCCCACAGTGGTCAGTTCTTAGGATTTACATTTTTTCAGTTTGGAATTTCCCATTTTACATTTTTCTCAGTTTAAATTTTCTCACTTTAGGTTTCTCACTTTAGATTTTCTCAGTTTAGATTTTTCTCATTTAAGATTTTCTTACTTTAGATTTTTCTCAGTTTTTAAGAGACTTGGATTCATCTAAACAATTAGGGTGCAGTTGGGAGAGCCATCAAATACTTATCAAAAGGCAAGAAAAAACCCAAAAAAGAGAAAACAATTAGGGGGAGCTTCAAGAATGTATTGTAGCAGGTATTTCAGGGGGCACCACTGATAGATTCCTATTTGTTTTCTTTCCCATTATTATTTTGGGTTTTGATTGAATAGCTGTTATACTTTAAAGTGACATCATTCCCCCTGATTTTTCCTGTTACTCAATGTGATATTTGTCTCATCCATGTCTCCTCATATCACTGAATGCTGTGTGTATCTCCTCCAGGTGCGTTCTATCATGAGTGACTTCGCTGTGCTGATTGCCATCCTCGCCTGTGTCATCATCGACTTCGTCATCGGGGTCAACACACCCAAGCTTCATGTGCCCACGGAGTTTGCTGTGAGTCCAGAACTCTTGACTTTTTAAAGAATTTATTTTGGCTCAGAGCTAACATATTATTTTACATTCACCCACATACATGTGTAGTACAGGGTGACTAAAATTTAAAGACGATCCATATAATTAAAAGCAGTAACTCTTTTCTCTTTGCATCCATTTCAACAAAACTTTGAACAAATAAGATTCAACCGAAGAGGTGGCAATTTTTTTTAGTGAAAAGAAAATTGACTGCCGTGTTTTAAAAATCAAGATTTAAAAATTGCAACTGAAATGGCATAAAATGCAAAACTTCACAGTTTCTTAAAAATGAACCATAATGTGTATTTGTGCATTAAAGAACTAATTTATTCAAAACTTTAAAATCAACCGCACCAAATAAACTGAATGAAGGTGTTGGCTATTCATTGACCCTTATATATACAGACTTATTGTGCTGCATGTGCTGTAAAACGTTTACCCAAACTAAGAGTGTACATTATCATGCACTTTTCAGCCCACAAACCCGAACCGTAGCTGGTTGGTCAGCCCGTTCGGCAAGAACCCGTGGTGGACGTGTCTGGCAGCTGTACTGCCTGCCCTGTTGGCCACCATTTTGATCTTCATGGATCAGCAGATCACGGCCGTCATCGTCAACAGGAAGGAGAACAAGCTTCAGGTTTGTGCAGGCTTTGTGTGTGGGTCATAGTGTATGTTTGTGTGTCTGTATGTGTGTGCCAATACTGTCATCGTCAACAGGAAGGAGAACAGGACTCAGATTTGTGTGGGCTCAGTGTGTGCGTCATTTTGAATGTTTGAAAATGTTTGTGTGTCTGTATGTGTAAGCCATACCTACTTGTGTGAAAAGATCAAATTCAAACTGTGACTAGTTTTTTTTATAAATTAGAATTCAAATTTTGGAATGACTATTATTAAATGATTATACTGACAAAAAACCTCTGTTTCTCGAAACTGCTCTGAAGAGAAAAGGCATTTTGTCAGCTTACTGCAGAGTTAGTTGTTATAGGCTACCGGACTCATAATCATGAGATTGCGGGTTCAGGGGTTTGAGCCTCAGCTCGGTCCGACAATGTGTCCTTGGGAAAGGCATTCTACACAAATCTCCCACTTGACTCGGTCTTTTCGGAGATGTACATTAAACTGGGAGGTCCCACCTCATAAATAACCTAATAGTGTTTATATGTACAGACCTTGTGTGTGCGTCATAGTTTATGTTTGGGAATGTTTATGTGTCTCTAGGTACATGCCAATACTGTCATCATCAACTGGAAAGAGAAGAAGCTTCATGTATGAATGTGCGGCTTTTGGTACCATTTCACCATTTTTTTCGCTTGATGTAGAGGGGATTAAAAATTTATTATTTTTAAGATCTTGAGTGAGGAGGTTGCTCCCGCTTTTTTATTTGTTTCGCTTATCTTATCTCACCCTGGAGTTTGTGTGCTGTATTGTGTCTACAGAAAGGCAGTGGCTACCATCTTGACCTGTTCGTGGTGGCCACGCTGATCATCGTCTGCTCCATCCTGGGTCTGCCCTGGTTCGTGGCGGCCACTGTGTTGTCCATAAATCACGTCAACAGCTTGAAGATGGAGTCGCAGTGCTCCGCGCCGGGGGAGAGGCCAAAGTTCCTGGGAGTTAGGTCAGCTCACTTTCTGCGTCGTTGTTTGTGGTGTTTTTGTTGTTGTTTTTAGTATACTGTGGTAGTGGTTGTGGTGGTGTTGTAGTTGCTGTTGTTATTTTTATTACTGTAGTGGTGGTGGAGTGGGTGATTTTGTTGTTGCTGTTTTTGTTGTTTTTATCGCTTTGGTGGTGGTTGTGGTGGTGTGTATGTTATTGTTGTTGCTGTTGTTGGTTTTGTTGTTTTATTACTGTGGTGGTTGTTGTGGTGGTGGTGGTGATATTGTTGTTGCCATTGTGTTGTTTTTGTTGTTTGTGTTGTTTTTATTACTGTGGTGGTTGTGGTGATGTAGGTGGTGGTTTTGGTGGTGTGGTTGATATTGTTGTTACTGTTGTGTTGCTGTTGCTATTTTTGTTGTTTTTATTACTGTGGTGGTGGTGGTGGTTATGGTTGTGGTGATGTGGGTGATATTATTGTTGACATGTTGTTTTTGTGCTTTTGTTGCTGGTGCTGCTGTTGTTGTTGTGGTGGTTGTTGTTGTTGTAGTGATGGTTGTTGTTGTTGCTAGCGAGACGGTAGCATCTTTTTTAAAAGTTCATTTTGCCATTTCCCCTGTTCTATCTACAGTCAAACCCTCTTTAACGGCCACTTAGCCAAGACAATCATCTTAAGGCCATTCCCAAAAGGGGGGATACTTATATGTTCTTATGCACAGTAGAATTGTTCTTGGGCTGATCCAACGTCATGCTCATAACTGTGCCTGAACTGCAACAGGGAACTGCTGCTTTTTCTTTCCTAATCCATACTATCATCAGTGGCGGTGGGTAGTGAAGGGCTCACGGGCTTGAGCCCCCCTCCCCTCCCCCCAAGTCTATCCCAAGGCAAATGAAAATAACGAAATAAGCAGTTGAAACTGTTCTGATCGACCGCAATGAACACAATGTGATCAACTAGACGGCTTGCTCGTTTATCCAATCACTGTTGTCCCCGCCGCTTACAACTATAGTAACCTAACAGCCAATTAAATGTCTTTAGGGCTCAGCAATCAACCAGCCCGTTCCCACGGTCTCTCCTTAATGAAACCCCTCTTTAAAAAGGTAGAAGACTTGAAAAAAATGACACTGCACAGAGGGCTCACGCTCTCCCAGCCCTGACAATGGGGTGAAAGTTTACGACACACTTTCCCCCAGTAACACAGTTACCTATGCGCCCATTGGGCCTTTGTCAGGCGTGTTCTATTTTCTGCAACAGCACGACCCAATCCACCTCATACAGGGTGTGTGTTTGGAGTGCTGTGTGTTTGTGCTGCTGAGATTTAACAATAATCAAATAAAAACTAATTAGAGAAATTATGAGGTGAAACGGCTTCGTCCAGAAGAATTTAACGTAGAACAAAGAGATGGCAGACAAAGGTGACTCTTTTCGTTTGAATGGTTCTCAAAATGCCGTAGCTCGCAATGAGTATAGAAAAATCATCACAGTGTTGTTCTTATTGCTTGCTTTTTGGTGGTAAAGAAGTGGAAGAAACCTAAGCCCCACCCAAATCTAGGTTCACCCACCACCACTATCATAATTTTTTCCTCTACTTCTTTTGTATGTTCGTCACACTCTTGTGACCCGCTATTTCAGGGGTGCTTTGATAGTCGAATCAGACTTTGTACTGTTGAGGCTAGAGAGGTGAGCAGAGTAAGCCTGATTTCCTGAAAGGACTCCTCTGTTGACGTCCACCCCCTGGCGCTCATATGACCTTATGCAGTTGCTAGTGCCATAAAAACCTTTCTAAAACTATACTAAAACTTTTGTTTCTTGTGTCCTCAGAGAGCAGCGTGTTACTGGTACCTGCATCTTCCTCTTCATCGGCATCTCTGTGTTGCTCACATCTATCCTGCGGGTAAGTACTATAGGCCAGCTCAAGCCTTGTTCTTTGAAAGTGGAGGATATGGGAACAGCCGATGTTTTATCAATCGTTTTTTGGGGGGGAGTAAATTTTTGCCAGCTGTCCTGCAGATTTGAATGTTACAATGTTGGAAGAGCAGGTGGTTTAGGTAGAAACATTGTTATATGTTATTATCTTAACCTCATTACAAAGATACTACATCACTTTTTAGAATGCATGCCTCTTTTTTTTAAATACTGCTTCTTTGGCTGGGACTGGGTTAGGGAGTGCACAAAAATGGCTGGGGCTGGAAGGGTGAAATGCTTAAAGCTTAAAATGTGATAAGATCTTCTCTGCCAAAGTTGGTCTTTTGGCTGGCCATAGCAGAAGCCAAAAGTCACCTTAATCTTGATCTTTTCCTTTTTACATGAGATATATTCTCCTCTGCAGATTCATTAGCCATCTTCAGACATTGGTGAATGAACTATTATTATTAGTAGTAGTTTCCTGAGCCTATTTGCGGTATAAAGTCCTTCGTCTGTGGGTGGTTGATTGGTACTCTGGTATGGTCTGCTCCATCTTTGCTATCAAACGTTTGTCATCCTTATCTCTCCTCCTTCTTTTCTGTGTTTGTTACTCTCTTGTAACACCTCTAGTGTTCAGCACTTATATGACCTTATTGCATTTGCAAGTGCTGTAAAGCTCTTACTGAGGGGGCTAAGGTGTTGTCCTCTCATTAAAAAATCGCGGGTTGGAATCCGGGTAGCAACCAAAAAATGTTCTTCTCTAAAATTGTCTCCTTTCACCTCCTTTCTTGCTCTCTAGCAATGTTCTGTTGTCTGCTGTCGTCTCTTCTTTCAGCTCCCACCCCCTCACCTCCTTTACCCTCTTCTCTGGGTTCCTAACTTTCTGCAGCCTTTCTACTGCTACTACTTGGCACCTTCTTACTAATGTCTTTCAGCTACACCCCTGATCTTCTGGTAGGAAAGATCTATACCTCGCCTTCTCAGGCAAGAGGGAATAATCTTGGAGATGCCGTGAGCAAGTTGTGTACGTTAAAGATACCTTTGTGGTCTAAAACCTATAAGAGTAGGCTTCGGCCCCCACCCGGACAAATTAATGTGCTCATATGACCTTATGCAGTTGCGAGCACAGTAAAACACTTACAAAAAAAAAGAAAAAAATACCCTTACTAAAAAAAGGCTAGTCCATTGTCATCTCTTTAATTCATGCCCCCCCCCCCACAATTTCATCCACAGTTTATCCCCATGCCTGTCCTTTATGGAGTGTTTCTGTACATGGGTGTTTCATCTCTCAATGGTAAGAATCAGTCTCCTGCATTTAAGATACATCTTTATTGCCCAGATCCTGGCACATTGGTTTAGTGTTTCACCACATACACACATACACACACACACTCACACACACACACACACACACACACACACACACACACACACACACACACTCACACACACACACATACACATGCACACACATACACACTCACATTCGTGAGGTGTGCTGACAAAACGAGTTACTTCTCTGATTTTAGTCTCATGGAAATTAATTAATCAACTTTATAGGTGGAGTTTGTACAATTTGTAAGTATGGAATAGTAAAAGACATGGTAGACTTGAACAAAATGGCATCAATTGAAGATCTATTATTTTGACCCCAGTGTCTATTTTCGGCCTCTATCTCTATTCTTGGATTGCGAGAAGTAACTCATTTTGTCAGTACGCTTCACATATATTTCTTAGTTCAGCAACTATTTTGTCTCTTTTCAGGAATTTATGACCATATTGAAAGTGTGTCTAGGGTAACTGGTTGGTGCTTTATATTTGTGTGGGAAAACTTTTACATTTGGGGTCGCAAAAAATAATTCACCTTTAATAAATGGTAATAATACTAATGAATACATTTATGTTCTTCGGCCGCCTCCCTGGCAAAATTTTAAAATCTCCTACCAACTGAAAATGTTTAGTGTGTCCAACGTGCTCATATGACCTAATGCAGTTGCAAGCGCCATAAAACCTTATTAAACAAACATCAGTAAAAGATGAAAAGGAAGAGAAGGAAAGAGAAAGAAGAAGAAAAAAGAAGAAAAGCAAGAACCCACTCTCAACTCAGTTTCCCCCCTGCTTACCTTTTCCTCAGGCATGCAGCTGATTGACAGAATCTCCATCCTGCTGATGCCGGCCAAGTACCAGCCAGACTACATGTACCTGAGGCACGTGCCCACGCGCCGCGTCCACATGTTCACCGGCATCCAGGTCCTGTGTCTGGCTGTGCTCTGGGTCATCAAGTCCATCAAGGCCATCTCTATTGCTTTCCCCATCATGGTGAGCACTTGGGCACTTACTTACTTACTTACTTACCTACTTACATACCTACCTACCTACCACCTACCTACCTACCTACCTACCTACCCAACCTACTTACTTACTTTTCTTACTTTATTTACTTTTTACTTTCTTACTCTAAGGTATCGAATAATAAGCATGCCCCCCCACTTATTAATTTTTCAGTTTTTTTCAGCATTCTCCCTCTGCACCTTATTCCATACCCCCCCCCCCCCCCCCCCTTATTATTTTCTATTTTCTAGCTTGCCGCAAGTGACGATCATGTGAAACATATCTAGAATCTAGATATTTGATTGAAACTTCTTTTTTTTTGTGTTAATGTACCCTCAGTATAAGTAATGGATACCGGGTTGGCTACCTCAATTCTTTGTGCATTTTAAAAACTTTTGTATATTGGTTTATATTTTTTAATGAAACTGGTTTGTTCCTAAATGGGAAAAGTTGTGACAGAAACTTACTAAAATCTAAAAATTTTGGTAGATATTTGTTCTGGCTGTTTTTGTTGTTGAGTTGTAGGGTTATGTAGTTGCGAGCCCTATGAAACTCATACCATAGGTGGTTGGCGGGTGCTGTGGTGTGGTTTGCTCCTTCTTTCCTATCGAACATCAATCGTCCTGGTCTCTCCTCTTTCATTTTTGTGCTTGTTACTTTCTTGTAGCACATCTAATCTTCAGCACTTATATGACCTTATTGCGTTGTAAGTGCCATAAAACTCTTATTAAAACTAAACTTAAAAGCAACTCATACGAAACCAATGACGAAAACAATGAACCTGTTGAGTTTATGTGATGGACAGGAAGGTGAAATAGCACACCATCAGGCATGGGCTGGGAACTAAAGGGTTCAATTTAAAAAAGTGAGGATTGAAGTAATTTCTCAAGAACAAAAGCATTGGACAGTGTGGCAGTTTCAAAGAGGCAAAATCACTCTCTTACACCCATGATCAGATCTGCTATGTGTGTTATTTATATTCTTATATTGTTTCTGCTTTCCTTACCTCCTTCTTCACGGGTAGTTGGCGGGTACTCTGGTGTGGTTTGCTCTTTCTTTTCTGTCAATGATCTATCATCCTTATCCCTCCTCCTTTTTTGTGTTTGTTGCCCTCTTGTAACACCTCTAGTCTTCGGCATTTATACGACCTTATTGTGTTGCAAGTGCCGAAAAACTCTCACTAATAAAACTTACCTACTTCTTCTTTCCTGTTTCCTCCTTTTCTCTAACCCAAAGGCCTGGTTCTGCACCTTACAAACACTCCCACTTATATTTCGTTGAAGGTCAAACTAGTGCGGACTGGAACTGATTTTGTTTTGGTTTGTCCTGGACACAGGTGTTGGCCATGTGCTTCGTGCGGAAGTTCATGGATAAGGTGTTCTCGCAGCAGGAGCTCATGTGGCTGGATGATATCATGCCGGAGACTCACCGCAGAGAGAAGGAGGACGAGGAGATCAAACAGGAGGAGGTAACTCTCGGGGACAGTCGTGGTGGTGTCCAAGAACTTGGTGTAGTCGGTGAAATAGGGAGAAATTTCTCCTACATTTTGTTTTGTTTTCAGAAACATAGTTGTGCAAAGTTTTTCATATATGTGAGGCAGCATGGTGAAATCAGGCATTCATCAAAATAATGAAATCGGAGAAACAAGCATTTTTCCGCCAGTTTGGAAAATTTTATTCAATTTTTATTTTCCTTTTTTTTGGTTTATCCTCTTTTATGTCCATATAAAGACACGTTTCCCATTTGAATTTTTCTGAAAAACATTGATTAAAGGCATAAAATATATCATTTTTCAATCTTCAAAGACTCTTTAGTTATTGGAGTTACCAAACTTTGGTGGCCATTTTCTCGCTAATTCCACCACTGAAACCAGGCAATCACGCCTCCTTCAATCGCAAATATCTTGAGTTCTATTCCAGATAAACGGATATTTCTTTCATTGGAAGCAAGACAAATAAATCAGCTTTCAGATGATACCAATAACTCCACATGCCTAAAAATTGACAAGCACCTGATTCCACCACGCCGTGACATAAATATGCATACGGATATTATACTTGTCTCATTCTCCTCCCATCTTACTCAGTCCTATTAGAAAGGAGTTTTTGAGTCTGATGTCTCATGGAATGAGACTTTCTGTGTTGAAAAACTTCTTAAGACTGGTACCACAGATGGTTGGAGGGTGCCACTGGTTGGTCCTACATTTAAAAAAACTTCACTACATTGTTTTTGTCCATCTGTCTTGCTTTTTCCTCCCCTTGATAACAAATATCTTGTCAGTGTGCTTCTTTGCTCAAACTGTTTTCTGATTCATGCAATCCCCTTACTTTTTCTCTTGCCTAATACTTTACGTCCACTCTTATGTTATAATGTTTGTCATGTCAACTTTTCTCTTTGCTTCTGTTAAATGAATGACAAAAACAGATAGGAGGTGGGTGGTTGGCCGGTGCTCTTTTGTGGTTTGCTCCTTCTTTCCTATCAAACATCTATCGTCCTCCTTATCTCTCCTCCATCTTTTTTATGAATGTTACTGCTTATCTCTCTCATAACACATCTACTCTTCGGCATTTATATGACCTTATTGCGTTGCAAGTGCCGTAAAACTTGTACTGAAACTAAACAGACATAGGAGTGGGGAAGCTTTTAAAGAACTGTATGTGGGTGGTTGACTGGTGCACTGGTGTGGTGTGCATTTTCTTTTCTATCATACATATGTCATTCTTATCTCTCTTCTTTCTTTTCTCTGTATGTTACTCTCTTGTACTTGTAGTAATGTCTCTAATCTTTCACAGTATCTAAAACTAACACTTAAAAGAACAATGTGGTAGGAGAGAAACAGGTAATATGGTTCATTCTGGCTGACAACACCTATGTGAGCTGAGCTGACAAAACGAGTTACTTCTCGGATTTTAGCCTTATGGAAATTAATACATCAACTTTATAGGAGGAATTTGTACAATTTGTAAGGATGAAATAAAAGACACGGTAGGCTTGAACAAAATAACATCAATTAAAAATTTATAAATCTGACCTCAGTGTCGATTTTCGGCCAATATTTCCATTCTTGGATTGCGAAAAGCAACTAATTTTGTCAGCACGCCTCACGCATTTTCTATGATTGGTCTAATAATGTCTGTTTGCTATTTTAAAGAAAACAGTACATATGGTTCATCTTCTTTCGTTGCCGTTTGCCCCCTTCCAGCAACGGCGTTCTCTGATTGAGGAATCAACCGCTCTGTCAATGGCTGCTGTAGGCTTCAATGTGGAGAACTGGACAGTCAAGGCAGACGTGGACAGCCTGAACATCTCTGAGGAGATGTCGAAGACAGCCATGTGGAAGTCCATCATGTCCAACGAGTCCTCCTCCAATCTCATCTCACAGGGAAACGAGGACGAGGAAAAGCGCAGCTCCAAGAAGTATGTACACATTTAAACCCTATACTTATTTAGGAGGGTTGTTAACGCTTTAAACCACATCAGACACTGGGAGCATCCAGCGGTGATAACCATTACGTTCCCCATCGGACACTGGGAACGTCCAATACAAGTGACAACTGTTTTGTTTCTAGATACATTCAGATACTTGATCCATCCCTGGTCGTTGGATAAGAATGTTGAGGAAAAGATTGCCTCCAAAGAGGTCCTGTATGGGTGGTCAAATAAAATGAGATTGAATCAAAACTCCGAATTGCACCAAATGCTTTCTCAAGATGAATGCTGTCGTCTCTTTTGTGTGATGGCAGCCGGAGGGGGGGGGGAGTTGTTTCAGCTGGCACAATCAGCCAACTATCGTCTTTGTCTTCGAAGTAAGATCAAGTAAAAATGAAGGAGTCACCAAATCTGTGGTGGCTTTGTGCAACAGACCAGGGTCTGTGCAAGCAGTTGCATGCATTTTGTTGCTAGCTCTTTGATGGCATCGTCGTGTGGCGTGCTGAGTTTGCCCACCCCTAGACTAGAAGTCCTTGTGGACTCTGTGCTCTCAGTTTTAGTTGGTCGTTTTTAAGCACAGTCCCAAAAAATACTGTTTTGAAAAAATCGAAGGAAAAAGTTTTTGCCATTTGTTCAGTTTCTTTGAAAGTCAAGGAGAGTTTTCTCTATAACCAAACAAATATACACACCAATGAAACCAAACTTCTCCTATAGGTAGGGCAATGCCCACCTTTGGGGTAGGTCAAGAATTCAGTAAACCCCCAAAATCTGGGTGAGCCCGATTGTCCTTAAAAGCGACCTGTTGATTTCTTGTGGTGTGGTTGCCTTGTAATGTATCTTCAGTTCATGGAAAACGACCGGCAGTCTGGTGGTCCTCTTGACTGTTTTGAGTTGATGCTTGAGCTGCTTTCTGCTGTACCGTGTGCTACACACACAAGGACAGTAAACTGAACGAATTAGAGTCTTGGCATATTTGACGAAAGAAAGGGTGGAAAGTTTTAATTACTCTCTTTTGTGTGTGAGGGTGGTTGGAGGGCTTCACTGGTAGGTGCTACTTCTTTACTTTCCCCTCTGTTGTTTCTGTCTGTCTGTCTTACTTTTTCCAAGCACTAAATGACCATTATTGTGTCGAGTGCTTCTCTTTACTTAAACAAATATACAAATCTCTAAATCACTGGGACTGGTTCTATGTGGCCTCATTATTTATCAGGCTTTTGAATGAGAAGTAATTTTATTTGTGTAATCACAAAGTTTGAATCCACATTGATCTGTCAAGCAAAATATATGGTTAGCCAGGATCTGGTGTTTTGAGATTTTCATCAGTCAAACAATAAATTGAAACTCTTGTAAATACTTATTTGCTGATGCGTGCTCTTTCTCTTGTGGCTTTGCCATCAGCCCTCTGTCGTTGTACTATGTACGTTAGTTAGGTTTATTTTTGCTCTCCAAGACTGGTTCATTCTGTTTTGGGAAACTACTGAGTCACGTTCTTATTCTTATGTTTAAGACAAAACTGATTACATTGTACCTAAATATTATGGCAGAAAGAGTAATACTAGCAAACAGCTGGCTCATCTTATTCTATTTTGGGAAGTTACATCCAATGACTGTGTCATAGATTCGAAGGACAAAATAATTGAGGTGATTGCGGGGGAGGGGGACTCTGCTGCTATTCCAAAACAGGCTGTATCAGATTTGGAACAATGTTCTTTTCATTTCATTTTCATTAATGTTTCTTCTCCTTCCATCCTCTATTCTCGCTTTTCAGGTACAGGTGAGTCTCATGCATATTCATATATGTCTCTGTGATAGTTGTGTTTCACTAACTGTTGGTTCATTTGTATGTTAAGTTTATTCGTTTTCCTTTCACTTCGTGTTTTGTGTTTCCTCACTGGGCCTGCAGAAAGTAATATTTTGTCTATTTAACACGCGCCAATGGACTGGCCTTTACAGAACTGTATGGTATGCACTTTATGGGTGGATTTTTGGTGATTTGTCTATTTAGAAAGGCTCAAGTGGAGGAATGTGTATCTGTGTGTGTGGTGTGTGTGTGTGTGTGTGAGTGAGTGTGAGTGCATGTGTGGGTTTATTTGTGTGTGCATGTATGTGAGCGCATGATGCCAAAGAGGTAATGTAAATACACATATATATGAGTTATTAAAATGTGTGTCTGTGTGCGTGTATCCGTATGTGTGCATGAGTATATGGCTACATCCTGTATGTTTTTATCTATCACACTGTGCTGTTCATCAGTTTCTATTATCTCCATTTTTAGAAATTAGTTTACATCGTGGTGGTACATGAAGCCTCATATCATTTATATAACTGTGTTCCGTAGTCACCTTTATCTCAGTCCTGTGTGACAGAAATTTTCATTTCATTCGATTTTCTAGCTTTTCTGACTTCTAGCCCTTATGGCTCTTCTCAGTGTTGGGGTTGGGAGATGATTGTTACTTTGTTCAACTGCTTTTTCCTTTTTTTCCCCCGTTTCTTTTGTCTTTCTGTCTGTCGTTCTATCCTTCTCCAAGTTGGCAATGTGTATTGGAAGTTTTGCAGCTGATGTGTCGTACCAAACTTTTTTACAGTGCTTGTGAGTGGGGCACACCACTGGTGGATCCTGTTTCTCTGCATTCTTATCTGTTCCTGTCGGTCTTGCCTTTTTCCTCATTCCTTAAGGGCATTTGTGAAGTGTGCTGACAAAATGAGATAGGCCTACTTCTCGGATTCAAGCCTTATGGAAATAGATACATCACACTTATAGTTGAAGTTTTTACAATTTATAAGTATGGAATAATAATAGGCATGGATAGAAAATCTACAAATTTGAGCCTAATGTCGATTTTTGGCCAATATTTCCGTTTGTGGATTGTGAGAAGTAACTCATTTTGTCAGCATGCCTGACATTTCGTTATATGTTTTTCTGGTGTGGAAGCGTGTTCTAAGGAACTGGCACTATCTCTTCACAACTAAACAGAGATTGAGAGTTTGCTGTTGTCATGAGATTTAGGAATCCCTTGTAATTTGAGTCCTTCCTCAGAAGTTGATCAACCACTTTACTGAGTCCTTTCGCTGCAATGGTTGTTTTTATGTTCATGGGAGCTTTTAATTGTTTCTTCCTTGTTGTCTCTTTCATGGAAAGATCTTGTCAGTTTGTTAGTGTTTGAGCATTTAATCGGCTGCTTGCACTGTAAGCTTCCCGAGAAGCCGAGAGTGTTTCTGAGTATTATAGGGTCTGCTAGGGTAATGATAATGTGTAAAGTGCATAGGGCTTGCTGTCGAACAGGGGTATGCGCTATGCAAACGCTATTTATTCTTTATTATTTAGTGTCTCGGAGGAGCTCTGTCTCACGTTTATGTTATATTAATTTTTTTTTCTGGAGAGGTCGGGGGGCTGTGATTTTTTAAGCGCCCCCCCCAACCCGCCTGAGGATGTGATTGAGCATTTTGTTTAGGTTTTAAGGGTTTGGTTTGTTTCAGGCAAATGATACCCTCCTAGCTTTAGCTCCATCAGTCATTTTAGGGCATCATATTCTACAAAAGATACTGAATGCGTGTGTGTGTGTGTGTGTAATCAAACTCATGGAATGGCAGGAACATTGAACTGTATTCTAATGAAAGTTTATGTGGAGCGGATTTCCCCTAGCTGTCTGATATTTTTGAGAATTCCTCTCTACCTAATGGTTGGTTTTATTGCTGTTTGGTTTTCCATTGTGGGGAAATGTCTTTATGTGTGTCTTAAAATCTCTGAAACCGTGTGTCTGCCTTATTTTCTGCCCAGATCTAAACCATTGTTGTCTAGTGTTGTCGTGTTGTGTCTTCAAGTTAACCTTCTATGTTGTTTCCTAACGACTGTGCTCCTTGCCATATCGTCGTATGTGGTGCACGTTTGAGGCAAGTCTTCTTTGTTGCATCTTTCTGTGTCTGTGACTAATAAGCATGCCCCCCCCCCCCCCCAGAGCAGTGCTACTGACTGAAGTTGTCTTTGGGCCATTCCCAAAGGGGGTGGGGGGGGGGATATTAACATGTTCAAATGCTCAGTATAATTATAAATGGGCTGATTTATCAATGTCATGCTCATACTGTGCTGGAACAACATAGGGGGAACTGCTGCTTTTTCTTTCCTCATCCTTACTATCGTCATTTCCTCTACTTTTTTTGTATGTTTGTCACTCTCTTGTGAACAGCTATTTCCGGGGTGCCTTGATAAGTTGAAACAGACTTTATGCTGTTGAGGCTAGAGAGGTGAGCAGAGTAAGCCTGATTCCTGGTTTGGACTTCTCTGTTGACATCCACTCCTTGGCGCTCGTATGACCCGATGCATTTGCAAGCGCCGTTAAAACTCTACTAAAACGAACGAAAAGACTGTGTTCCTCGCCCTGTCGTGTGTATGGTGCATGTTTGAGGCAAGTCTTCTTCGTTGCATTTTTCTGTGACTACTAAACATGTCCCAGTGCTTTTGTTCTTCTCAAGTCATCGGCTTAAACATTTGTATGTTATAATCTTGTTGTTTGATGTTGTTGTTGTTATCAATCCAGCAACAACTGGGCTCTGGCCCTTCTGTATATAATCTTTTAAATGCCTTGAAAGAATGTGATTCATGTGCGTGACATATCTGTCTCTCTTCTTGTTCCACGAAATTGTTGGACGAAGATCTCATGTTTTTGTGTTTCTCCAATGATGCCAGAGATGGATGTTTCTAAGAGTGGGTTCTGCTCTCTCAGGTGTTAGTTGTACTAAAAAGTTTGTGCGATCTAGATACAGGTCGGTTCATTATTGTGCGAATGACTGTGGATCAATTCTCTGACTTGTTTTTCCTGTTCTGTTTTGTTTTGTTTTTGTTGGTTGGGTTTTTTGTTTGTTTTGTTCACTTTTTCTTTTTTTCTTTTTTTTGTGTTTTTTTTTTCATTCCTTCTCCATCCCATCAAAGACGAATGTTGAATTTGCATTTTCTGACATCTTTGACTGTGAATTATGGCATCAAATGGTAGAA